GTTCATCATCCAGAATGATGCCAAGTTCTGGGAGCATGGAATCATAAAGTTGCCTCAAAAACAGTGAAAGCTAGTGGAACAAAATGGCATATAATTAGTTAAAGAACTCTATATCAGTTAAACACCACAAATGGTACATGCCTGGGTAATCATGTCACTTTCAATTCATGACTGACTAGGCAGAGAGGTTGCCGTTTCTTTCTGCAGTAGACTGGTTGCCATAGCTGAGAGGAGAAGAAATGGATTCATACCTTTCCCAAGAGTATTTGCATATAAGTGAATGCAATGAACCGAACTAGAATTTGTTATATTCACTTACATGCAAATTCACATATTTAAATATTGTCTTTGTCATTCCCTTTTGTTCTGATCATATATATCTCCACACTTTATGGCTTCTCACTGAAGAAAAAAAAAATCTTTTTTAAATTTTCTGGTGGAGGGATTTTGTGAGATTTTTCCACTGAGACTAGAAATAAGGTAACAAATGAACAGATTGATTAATAAATTTACTTTCCCCAAAATTTTGATTGGTGCCTCATGTACAGGGTGCAATGGATAAATTGTCATCTAAGTTACACAAAAATGAAAATAACACCGACATCTCATTTTAACAGATATATTTACTAAAATTAAACAAAAATATCTTGAAATACTAAAGAGTAAATTTATTCAATAAATTCACCATTGGCTTCAACCACAGCCTCCAGACAACTTTGGAATCTCCTGCATTTCTTCTGAATGATCTCCTTGTTTAAGTTAGTGAATGCTGCCATAATTCTTACATTCAGTTTATCTTTGGTGTTACAAAGAGTTTTGTTGGTTTCTCACTCAACTATGCCCTACACATAATAATAAAAGGGCTTGTTGTCTGGGGAGTTAGGTGGTCAGATGTAAGCATTGATGTGGTTGCAGAAATTGCCTGACAGCCATGACTGGATTCTCCTGCTTGTCTGGTATGGTGCAGTGACCTGTTTCCAGCAGCCACCCTCTTGAACCAAGGCAGCACTACATTCTCAAGAATTGCTGCCTGATGTTCCATCTGAGGCCCTGTGGGAAGATGAATGGAGGCATAATGTCATCACTAGTGATCACTCCAAACACTTTTGTAATCACCATTAGACTCATCCAACTCTTTTCAAATCCTCTGCACTGTCCTAAGATTGACACCTAGTCACACTGAAATGTTTGTATTGGAACTTCTGGCTCAAATGCCAAGCAGTACAGCATGCTGTTGCCAAATTTCTGGTGGAGTGAATTGCATCATGGTACTCTTTTACTCACAGATGGTGCCCAACTGACCCTACTATACTGTTCAGTTGACAAAATCAAACAATGCATATGCGCAAAATTAAAAATATAAAATGGCAACAATTTACCCACTGCACCCTTTGGGAAGATGAATGGAGGCATAAGAGCATTGATATGACTTGACACAGCCATAGTTGACAAAATGATATGACAAAATTGATATGACTTGACACAGCCATAGTTGACACTGACGGATGGGAGGTTCATAGGTTATTTTATCCTGAAATCTAAATATTTTGAACACAATTTTATGACTTCTTCTAAATATATTCTGAGAGTAATTGTATGCCTTCAACTACAGATAAAATGTATTGCTAGTATTTTTACTATAAAAACATATTTTTATACTTTCATAGTGTTTTGTTTTTGTTTGGGGGTTCACTGTTTGCCCATAGCTGGGACCCTAACAGGTGCTACCACCCCGGGTTAGGGTGAACCTGAGAACAACAGTAATTAAGACATGGTTCCATGCTCTTGAAAACCTCCAATCGCCCAATCAGAGACTTGCTGCCAGATGTAGTTTATCATCATACCCAGGACTACTGACTGACAGAGGCTTACTACTACTACTACTAAATAAAAAAAAAGCACAGGTAACTAAGTCAGCGATCCATCTGACACTATATTATGAACTTAAAATGATGAAAAAAATAACATCAGAAAGTCTAATGAATGCTAATCTACAATAACAGTTTTAAAAAACTGTTAAAAAAATTCCCCATATTTTTTTATGAGCAGACCACAGAATTTAAATAGTGCCCGTATAAATATTTGAAGAAAACATTCAACTGAGAATAAAATGAAACCAGAACCTTTCAGAAATATTTTAAAGAAAAAAAGAAATCAATCTAATGAAAAATGTCTTACATTTCTGCCTGTTTTTTTGGAATATCTGACATTTTCTGTTGAGTCTCTAAAGTGTGGGAATATTCTTTTGCACATTTTTTCCAGTAGCTGTAATCTTCTGATCTCTTAAACCTCTGTGTGCTTCGGCCTGAAGATGTTGTTTCTGGCTATTAAGGAAAATAAATAACATAAGCTACTTTATTATATTAAACATGCAGTTAATATTTCACAAACAAACCAGAAGAAATGCCATCTAAATGCAAAGTGGTATCATGAGATGACAATACAAAAGCTATGAATTTGAATTGTTTTCAAATACAACTTAACAATTTTCTATAGGATTGAGGTGTGGAGACAAGGCAGTTTACTTCATTAAGCTGAAAAGTGACTGCACAGGTACAAAACAGTTGTCTTTGCAAAATGACAACTCACATATTCCTTTTGCTCTCATTTATTAGTAGCTTTGGTATCAAACTATTTCATTTGCAGAGCAAGTGGCGGAAAAATATCAGTTGGAGTTAAATGATTTACAATGCAACGAATCTTTTAAATCAAATTTAATCCCAAATCCACTGCTGACTTCTACAAGAAATGTTTTGCCAAATGGAATTGAAGTCTGTTGAATAATGCAAAAAGGATGGTATCATTATTTGAAAGTACAACTTTTTTCAAAAATTAAATATACAAAGAGTCATTTAAGACCAAGGTTGAGTGATGACCACTTGGATGAGGTTTTTCTCCTGTCATCAACAAATATTTCACCTAATGTGGAGAAGTTATTAAACAATAAGCAGAAACAAGTATTACATTAAATAATTTTGCCATTTTTAACTGTATTTCATTTGTAGTATGGAATTTGAATTTTTTGTTTGTTTGTGTTAGTTGTTACCCTGTTATTCCTACAGTAAAATAAGGAACCTTATTTAAATAATATAACATTAACTTTGATGTTTTTTCTTTAAGCCCCAAGACTAACACGACCTTGTGAATGGAGCAGTCTGAGGTTGAGACAATTTACTACAATAAATTTGATTTTATGGCTCTTCTCCAAGGCACTGCATAGATTTACAGCCGACTCTCTCCAAAAGGTTGCTGATCCCTGTTGTAGATCATACCAAATAAAGCTTAGCATTTCAGGCCAGTCAGGTTCAAAGTGCTTTTCATCTGTCCAGATCACATTCTACATATTAGGATGGTCTTTGAGGATGATCTCTATCTGCTGGCATCTGGTTTCTTTGTGGCATTTCTGCAAATATGGTTTTAGTTTAACTAACACCAGTACAACTGGAGAGTTACTGGACAAAATGTGAACACATTTTGATAGTTGCTTTACCTAACTTATTGCTTGTGCATTTTTGCTAACACTTTTCAATGGATTTTCTAAAGAAAGACTAAATGACAAATTCTAAAAAAATGGTAATCTTTCAGAATTTGTCATTTAGTCTTCTTAGAAATATTCAATTTTTTGTGAACTTATTTCCATTCAATATTATAAGCATCAGAATTCATCAAAAAGTTGCAGATCACAGCAATGGACAAAGAGTTGCAGATCCCAGTGACAGACAAAGAGTTGCGGATCACAGCAACAGACAAAGACTTGCAGATCACTAGTCTTATTAGAACACTTGGTAGATTATCTCAACTATGAATACCTATGTCATGAGCATAGACCCCTCCACTCAGAATAAGTATATTGCCCTCAAGAAGGAAAGCAAAATCATTGGTAGATTTGTTTTGGGTGTGGTAGGGAATGCTTAAATGATCAGTGCTCATCTCTTCATATCTGTGCTTGTAAATGCACATAGTATAGTCTAGGAAAATATTAAACAGATGGTGGCTCTCATTTCCACCTTGTACCCCAGATGAGGTTTGAAACGTTTTCGCATTGAGGTCCTTGCCAGTAATAAAAGATTTGTCTAGTCTTCTTACAAATGTCTTTAAATTTAATAAATAAAATTAAACAGTTCTCATACATTTTTTAAGATTCTATCTAAGACATGAGAAATATCATGCTGGATGAATCCACTCATGTTCATAAAATGTGGTTCTGACTTACCGATGCAGCTTTTTTCCAGCAGTTACAGAAGAATTCACAGTTCCTCTTACATTTCTTCACTTTCCGATAGATCAGTCGAACTAACATAGCAATGTAACTTATAAAGGTGAGAGGTGGCGGAAAACACAAGCGTTCTTCAAAATCAACAACCAGTGCATAACGTTGAAATTTCCAAATAGAAGCTGCTTCATTGTCAACCTTGCTTATTGTTAACCTTAGAAATGAAATGATGAAAAGAACAATATTTAATTTAACCTCAACAATTCATTGAATGTAAATGCAGGGAATAGTTAGAAAAAGAAAAAAACAAATGTTAGTATATAAAGATTTGAAGGATTAAAATATTTTACTAAGTATATCAACAAAATTCTATGTTTAACCATATATTGATATAATTAAACAGTGAATTAAATATTTGCTGATGTATCAATAAAATTCTATGTAACTATATATTGATATAATTAAACAGTGAATTAAATATTTGCTGATGTATCAATAAAATTCTATGTTTAACTATATATTGATATAATTAAACAGTGAATTAAATATTTGCTGATATATCAGCAAAATTCTATTTAATTATATAATGACATAATTAAACATTGAGTTAAATATTTGCTAATATACCAACAAAATATTTTAATACTTCATGAAAGTTAAAATATTCAATGCAAAATATGAAATATTTTAAAAAAATGCATTTCACAGTAATTTTAATTTTTTACAATGCAAAAACATTATATAACTAAAATAAATATTTTAAATAAAAAAATTAAAAGAAAATGTAAGCATAAAGTTCTGTTATTTGAAAGCCATTGTAGCAACTGACTTAAAAAAAATCCAACATATTTTGACAAATTCCTTTACTGCTTCTAAAGGAATAACCATTCTTTCATTGAAATATGGGAAACAACAAATCCTACAGAAGAGAATGCAGTTGGATGGCCAAGTGTCAACACATCTTCACATAGTTGACTTATATTTTGCTATATTTATACTGAAGTAAAGATTTTATAGATGACCTAAATATTTCATAGAACAAATATTTATAAATGTACCAATTAAAAAAAAAATTCCTGTTTAAATGTGTAAAAATTATTGGGAAGTGTAGTGGCTATTCTACATAAGCATTGTCTTTATTAAACCCAGTTCCTATATTGCATAACATCTGACCAATTTTATTTCACAATTGGATGAACATACCAAAATCAGCGAAGTTCCACCTTAATTAATAAAAGTTAATTAGACATTTTTTTCTCAATTCCATTTCAGAATATTTCTTTAGAATAAAAATGTTTTGAAGGAAAAGTACCCAAAAGTGTAAATTAATTAAGGATATGTTACTGAATTTCAAAAATATCCCTTTATTAGAAAGAAAACTGAGAATGACCAAAGTTATACCTACGCAAACATGGCAAATAGAATTGTGGTGAGAATTAATTTGCAAATGATTAAATACTGCAATACTACAATGTAGCCACCCAAGCTAGAGTATGGGCAAGCAGCAACAGGAGCAATCACAGGATCTGAAAGAGAGAGAGATAATGTCAAAAAAAAAAAAAAAATGAAACAAACAATACTTCAAGTATTTATAATCTTATTATAGTGTATATGTGTGTGTGTATATATGTGTGTGTGTGTATTTGGGCAGCAACCCCTTTTTATACAAGTTTCATTAAAGACAATTGACAAGGCACTGTAATTAAGTTTTTTATTTAATTTTTCTTGTGTTCGTACAAATGTTTTCTTTTCTGGGCACAAAATGTATAAAAACTGTCTAAAAGCACTTTTGGCTACTTTTTTGCCCATTAACAAGGATAATTTTTATTTTTTTTATTTTTAACATTTTTTTTTTTTTTTTTTTTTACATGTGGATGACACTATTATACTTGTATTTTCTAGTAGTAATTGCAGATAGTGTTTGGTAGGTTTTTGTGTGTTTAAATGTGTCCTAATTGAGCTATGGTCAGTTAGGTGTACAAACACAAATAAAATTAAATAAAAAGCTTAATCGCAATGTCTTCACAGTCATCTTTAATGGAACTTGTATGTATATATATATATATATATATATATATATATATATATATATAAAATAAAAATCTAAAAAATGATTTGTTCTGTGTTAGTACAGACAGACCCTCATTTATGAAAACAAAGCTGTTGGCCTAAAAATATAAAAATCTAGACATCTGATCTATAAATTCATCTATTCATATTGAAGATCTGCTAAGCTGTTAACTGTCTGTTAATAATCTTGGTTTTTATCACAGCATTACTACAGTGAGTTTTTCAAACATCTCATTTAAAATATTATACGTTTTTTTCAATCTGTTATTAACCAGGACAAATAATGGTTTGCTAATTTTAACAGTTTCAAAATTAAACTGTTCTTTTTTAATCATCTTAAAGAAGCATTTTTGCCTTGCATCATTCTTCTGTAGGTTAACATTAGCTAACCTACATAATAGTCTATATTACACATTCCTAAGTCTACTATTAGTCCATGCATTGAATATTGCTGCCACATCTGGTCTGGTGCTTCTATATATTTAGAGATTCTCAATAAAATCTAAAGAAGAATCTGCAATCTTATCGATCCTGATGCCTCAGTTTCAGTCACTTCCTCACCACCATAACAGTTTCCCTGTGCCTTTTCTATAAATATTTTCGGCCTTGTGCCACATTTCTGTATTGTACAGAATAAATATCGCTTTCCTCTTTGGTACCTCGACTTTACAAATTTAAGTGTGGCATTTGACTGACATTTTACTGTTGAAGTTGCCAGATGTAACTGCTGTTTCTTCTCTCACACTTCTCACTTGTGAAACACTTTTCTGGCTTCTTGCTATCCAGTCAACTTTGACCTTCAAAAATTTAAATGCAATGTCAATAGTCATCTTCTGTCTCCTTAATTCCTGTTCTTTTATCATCCTCCTTAATAATGTTTTTGTCTAAAATTCTTTCACACTCAATAATGTGACTTAGTGACTATCACTTTGCTTGGGGTGAAATGATTGAAAAAAATATCTTTTAGTTTTTAAGTTTTTTGCTATATATTGTCTAGAGTGCTCTTCCTGGTTTTTATAGTATGAATAAAAATTGAAAAAAAGATTTTATTTTAAAAAATCAAATTCAAAGGCCAATATTAAAAAATGAATTTTCAAAAATAGGTTTCATTTTATTTTCAGTAAACAAATAAAACTGCTTGTAACTTGCACAAATATGATTAAAACCAGAAACTTCTTGTAGTGACTCGACAGCGGTGATAGGGGGAATTATAATTCTGAGTAAATAATTATACTCCACCCTTAACATTTATATATACAAAAATACTTGTAAAAATGAGAAATGACAAGACGTGGAAACAACAAAAGTATTATTTATTCTCTTTTTTATATGGTATCGAAGAAATGAGAGATAGTAATACAGAGTAAAATTTAGATCAGATCCAGATCAGAATGTGACAGTGTATATACACACATAAGAATAAGCAAGGTGTATACAGTTTTCCTTATATATTTTAATATAGATGAGTGAATGAGTATCCAGATAAGTGTACTGGAAAAATACTAGAAGTGTCTGGGGTTTTCTTACCACAAATTTTTGTTGAATGCTAAAAGATAAATTACTATTATGGCCTGAAAAAAAGAAAAGGAGACAAAATTTTTGTTGGTGCACATGTTAATGACCTGTCCATGTGAACTGCTTGTCTGATAATGATCATGTCACATGTTTGTGCATGTAAAGGAGAAAGTGAGGGTTGATTCTCATTGGTTTAGAATGAGTGAATTAATGATAACTATAATTGTTAGAATTATTTTATTATAATTATTTTTGACACTATAATTAATTTTTATTTATTTTTTTTATGGACACAAGGTATTCCAAAAGCTTTTTGATTGATCATGAAAATTTTGACTTGACACTTGCTAAATATTTAGGGAAAACATTTTGTGATGTATTTAAACAGCTCACATCAACAAATGGTTGAAGCGAGTCAACAAAGATGGTATTTATCAATCCACCCACGGGGATCGAATGTGGCACAAGGCCTTTTTAATGTGGGTATCTCTGAGCCCGTAGGCCCAGCCAAAAATAAATAACTATCCAAACCGCCGAGGCGGGCCAGTTCAATCAACCTCCCCCAACTAAAACCCTACCCTTCGGGCGGAGCTTTGTCTGGATTCCTCTCTGCAAGCAGAGAGTTCGACAGACACCCGACCCGGCAGCTCACAAAGCGCAGATACTACACTTTGATCCTAGCCACCTAGCGAGTCAACAAAGATGATACAGATATGTTTTTTTATCATATTCCAGTCATCAGAATTCACAAGTATAGTAAACATACTTTGTAAAATATTTTAAAGAATTCTTTTTTCTTAACATTGTCTTTATTCCACAAAGAAAAAATAACTTACCTGGTACAAATGGTGATGAAATAGAATCTTCTGAAACAAAAAAATTTTAATTACATTTTATCTATTCATAAATTAAAACATGACATAAAATGATCTACATAAATATCTTTGACAATATCTTTAAATATATTTCACTACAATTTCAATTGTGTGTGTATGTGCATGCAAACACACACACACACAAAATGTCCCCAAAATGTACTCATTAAAATGACAAATGCAGTGTTTATTGACTTGCAAACAAGATTAATGGTTAAAATTACGAAATATTAAATATTTATTAACTTACAAAGATTAACAGTTTAAATTAAATATTAAATGAAGATTAAATGCATGTTTAAATATTCAAGCTGATGACAAAATCAAAAAGCGAAGACATTTTAGTCAGGGACAGCCTATATATATATTTCTTTAGATATAGTAAAAAAATATTTTTTAAAATATTTATAACAGTTAGATTTAAGTTAGGAATATCTGAACAGTGACGTTCCATATCACGTGACGTCCGCGTCTCTCGAAGGACGCTACTTGCCAACAAACAGTAATTTTAATTTATTTGTAACAAACAGTTATTTCTGATGAAAAATTGAGGACAATTTGAAATATCAAATATATATATAAATAAATAAATACTTTCATAAAATAAAACATTATAATTTTTAATTTGAAACTTTTTCTATATATATATATATATATATATATATATATACATGGAGTGAAAGAAACTCCCTATTGAAAATTACTAATAATTTTGTTAATATCCCATTTGCATGAAACAATATATATTGTGAGCCCTAAAATGGTAGAATTTAATTGCTAATTTCTTTTTTTATTTACGAGTGACAAGTGCAGCCCAAAATGGCACAGTGTTTGACACTGTATGAGTATGTGGCAGTCCATGGTACAAGTGCAGAGATGGTGCCCCAGTGTTCATGGACTTCATGCTACAGTAGATGCCAGAACCATCAGAAATTATCATTCCAAGCTGATAAGTATGAGATCTGTGGTCATCCTTCAACATCGAGATTGGAAGAAAATGTGAAATAGTTAGAATTTTAATGCTGTACTGTACTTTTACCATTATACTGTTTAAAATAAAACGTTTTATAAAATTCAACCAATAATTAATAAAGGTATTAACAATTTTAAATAGGGAGTTTCTTTTCACCCACCCTGTATATATCTCAATCATTTTCATGGATTTTTTCATTGGAATAGTCTTTATCTGGACATAAAAAATGATATATACTTTATAATTTAAATTCAAATTACTTTACAAAATCAAATCACTTTTTTTTTAATTTAAAGTCAAATTTAAATACAGAAGATTTTAAAATTAATTTTCCATAATGATAATCTCAAGTGATTTGAATTGTACAAAGATGAGACAATAGCAATCTATTAGATAGCATCAAATCCACACTCATGTTTAATTAATTCTCCCTGCTATTAACAATGCAGATTATCTCCTTTTCAAAAATTATTTTTCAAAATTATTTTACATTAAATAAAATACAGAATATGTGAACTTAAATAAGTACATCCCATTGAAAATAAAAGAAAAATTATTAATATTTATTTTTACATGATATTTTTATTGACAAGCAAGAAAATCTAATTTTTCTTGACTATGATATAACTGAAAAACATAATTAAAAGAAATACTTTCTCACACAGAAATCAAATATCAATGAATTGCAATTATTATTTTTTCTTTTCTTTATATTTACTTTTACCTTGCTTTTATGAACCTTTACCAAACAATAGCTTAAAGTTTATTTTCCTATCAATGCAGGCAACTCTGTTCACAAATAATAACATTTCAAAGTTGTCATGTGTTTTTTGGCAACAGAAAACAATCTTGATTGAAATCAACAATGTGATTATTGCAGTTAGGCAACCGTAAAAAACAGTGCAAGGGGAAGTAATACGTTGAATAATGCAGAGTGCTAAAAGCTAAAATAGACAGAATAGCATAATTTTATTTATTTTTTTTTACTTATCTGATGACTCAAACACAATATTTATGAGGGGGTTCTAAAATGTTCTTGACCTGATCCACTTTCCAAAATCTGACCAAGGCTTATGGCTACATCACATTGAAACACTATAAGCAGCATCAAGCCTGGTCAGTACCTAGATGGGTAACTACTTGGGAACATCAGATTCTTTAAGCTTGGATGCTCAGGTGGCGTAATGAATAATGGCTCTAAATTGTTACTAAGAGCACTGAGTTCCAATTCCAGTTGTGTTTGTTATATTCACTTACATGAAAATACCCTTGGGAAAGGTATGAATCCACCTTTTCTCCCTCCAGCTAGTAAGATAGGTATCACTAAACCATTATTATCTCCAAAGAAAAATTCTTACAATCTAAAAATATTTTCTGGCTTTAAATAACCTGCAAAAGGTTGATAAGCTATAGAAAATGAATGAATCAATCAGTAAAAATCTGACCAGATATTTCTTTTTGGAAGGGCTTCTTGTTCAGGCTAAGAACTTTTCAGCATCCCCATATGCATCGTATTCAACAATTTAGAGAAATTTCTATAGATATCATTAACATGAAAATAATATAAAAACATAAATAACATGTATGAATAACAAATATAAGAACTGAACAAGTATTGAGTTTTTTTTTTTAGTAGTATTTCTTTCATCTTAATTTCACTTGCTTTGGAACTTGGAACAACTCAAGTTCATCTTTTCACAATTGTTAGTACATAGCATAAGTCAGAAATAAAAGACAAGTTTCTAATGAGACAAACTCATATCTCCTTATCCTCAGATTCTTTCCTAATTAAGATGAAAGAAAAACTAATCAAAAATTCATGACTGACAATGCTTCATCCGAGAAATTCAAATAATAAAAACAACATACTTGTTGCACAATATCGAAGTGATATGTTTTTGTAATATGGTGTGCATGTTTTATAACCTGTAAAAAATACAAAGAGAATATAAATGTAAAAGTCTTTAAACATTCAAAAGAAACATGAAGGCAAATTCTTTCAGAAAACACTCAACCTAAAATAAACTGTTAAAACATTTTAACATTAATGTAATTAACAACTGATTTCCCAGGAGTCAATGAAAACTATGCTACTCTCAAATATATTTTATACATTTCATATATTTTAGAATTTAAAACTTATGATTAAATGGTTGATAAACAATATGCTAAATAATTTCATTTTTAACCAATTCCTCAGTTAACATGTGTAGATACATTTTTACCAAAAGTGTCTTCTTCAGACACAGACAAATAAACATGTCCAAAATATAATGTTTAAAAAATAGCTACAGACATGTTTATAAGTTGATCTTGATTCTTTTTATGCCCTTCTGAGCTTGAAACAAACCCAGTTGTCAACTTGTAAAACTGGTAGATGTGTTAGCCACCACTTGGGTACTTCAAGGTGCCTCAGTTTCTTAGTCTTCCCAAACAAATAAAAAAAAAAAAATTTGTCTGAAAATGAAACATTTTTCCCCAAAATAATTGGTGGGAAAGGGGTTAAAACATGCCCCTTCAGTTAGTAGGCAATCATTTCTCTTTTTTTTTTTTAAATCATTTCACCCTAAGCAAGGCAATAAAACCACTAAGACACAAGGGGTTATTGAGTGTTAGAGAATATGATAAAAATATACTATAAAGGAAAGAAGACAATAAAAGAACAAGAATTAACAAAATAGAAGATAATGATTGACATTTCATTTAAATTTTTGAAGATCAAAGATGACAGGGAAGCAAAAAGCCAGAAGAGAGTTCCATCTAGACATTTCAACTGTAAAATCATGGGAACTTGCTGCCAATTTAGTACTGCACTTAAATTCATAAAGTCTTGGTACCCTAGAGAAAAGTTCATCAGAACAATTACCATTAAATTATTTATAGAAAAGACTCAGGGGAGCTACAGCATTGTCTGTGAATTATCATACATTCTTGGGAAAAGATTAGGAAATGGTTTCCCATTGTCTTTTCTACTGTTTCCATTTCAGAATTTTCCTTCTCAGACTGATTGATACTCAAAGCTAAAGTGCTCAGTCTACACTGCTATTTAACTAATAGCTGGTGGAAGAAGAAACAATTTCATGCCTTGCCAATAGCATTAGTGGAAAAGTAATTGCAACAGCCAAGCCCAGAATTTGAACTTGGCTATGCTGAATAACTACAATAAAAATACAAGGCCAAAATACCACTTAAGGTAAATGGTGACAAATGGAAATATAAGGGTATATAGAGAGGAAGCAAGGATCACATATTATGAGGATATGTAGTATAAGTAAGGGTTGACCCATGACTTAACATTAAGTCAGGGGTCAACCCTTACTTATACTACATATCCTCATAGTATGTAATCCTTGTAGTGATCAGGGAAGCAGCTCCTTGGGAATTGATTCCCATTGCAACAGTTCTGGGGGAAAAGTTCTTTGAGTGGAACTTACTCCTTACTAATGGAATATGAAGGGAATTAGTCAAATTAGTGTACACATCATGCTGGGTCCTGGCTGTGAAGGTCTGAACTGGTAAAACAAAAGAATGTAGTTTGCCTGAACATCTCTTATCTATTTTTCTTTAGCAATGGATCATATATACAAGTTCCATTTGAGGTCGAGAGTAAGACAGTCCCAATAAATGTTCTAGGCAAGGAGACTCATTATGACTGGAAAAAACTCAGTGTCTGCTCTGTAATGATGAAATCTTACTAACAGGGTTTTAGAAGTATTGAATATTACAAACTAGTTACTCCCCTACCCTTGAGTTGTGTGAGCAAGATCAGAAGAGAGAGCAGCTGCCAGGGTCTGATCATCTTGATTATGGGGGCTTATGACCATATCACATTGAAATACCAGTTCTCATTCAATCACTGAAGTTAAGCAAAGTCAAAACAGGTCAGTACCTAGATAGGTGACCACTTGGCAATACCAGGTGCTGTAAGCTTGAATGTATACTCAGTGTAATAGATAACCAGTCAGAATTAAAAATTAGATAGCAGAGTTCCAATTCCCATTGGGTTTATTATATTCACTTAGGTGCAAATACCCTTGGGAAAGGTATGAATCCACCTCTCCTCCCACCAGCTATGGGTGAATTAATAGAACTTGTATTAGTAAATCATTATTATCGCCAAAAAGTCTTAAAATCTAAAAATATTTTCTGGCTTTAAATAACCTTCAAAAGATAATGAGATAATAATCCTTTTTACTGATACAAGATTTTATTTTTCAATTCACCCCAAGCAAGGTGATAATGCCACTAAAATGTAATCCTAATTTATCACTTGTTTCCTGTAAATAGGAAACAAGTGATAAATCTCTACTCTTGTTCAATAATTAATCCATAGCTGTGGGGAGAGGAGATAGATTCATAACTTTCCCAAAGGTATTTGATTATAAGTGACTATAACAAACCTGACTGGAATTGGAACTCAGTTCTCTGATTTCAATTCCAAGCTGTTATTCATTAGACCACCTGCACATCCAAACTCTGATAATCATATGTGAACCTTTGTTTCAACATAATATGGTCATAAGCCCTTTAGAGCAGAAATAACTGGAAATATTTAAATACATTTAGAATATGCTCTTAAAAATGAAAGCAGTTCTTTTTTTTTCATATGAAGCAGGAAAATACTTAATTACTTGATAGAAAACTTAATAAAACTAAAGCAGTAAGAATCAGTCATTCAAGGCATTTAACTTTTTATTTCTCTTATAATTACATTTATGATTATGAGCGAAATAAAGGGTTCAGTTCAACATTCCAACCACCTGAAGAAGGCCGGAGCATACAACGGCCGAAACGTTGTGATAAATATGGCAACAAAGATAATGACAATAGTCCGAATAATGTAAATAGTATATATATTATGCCTTTAAATTCCTTGAGAACCATATGTCCACAATATAACATTGTGGTTTCTATAAAAGGCCAGTTTTTAAGTGAGTAGGTTGTTAGGCTACTGCACAACCCCAATCTGGAGGGTTGTGTAGTAGACTAATGTTTATGATTAATAAAGAAGAAACTTAAAACTGGTATAAAATGAAGCAGACTTTGTGCTCAAGGATCTAGAGAGAAAAACAGACATTTGCCAATTCTAAACTCCTGGTAGGGTCACAGCAGCAAGGTTGAAGATGAGAACCCATACTAAGCTTGACCAACCCCAAAGATCCCAACAGTGAAACAAGTAGATGAGGATTACAACAGATCTCAACAGTTAAACCAGCTGATGAAGAGGGCTACACATGACAAACATGCTAAAGAGGCATCACTCAGAATTATAAGTTTCAGCGGCATTCTGTTGCAGTTTCATAACTCGATTCAGCATGTCTCATTCCATATATGCTGCAGAGGCAGGTCATGAAATCAAGTGTATGGGTCCCTTCTTGGCAAGTTGAGGTACACCTAAAACAAATTCATACCATGGATATTTTATTTTACTCTGATTTCCTTTAATCTCCAACCAACTCTTGGGAAACCAGATGGTGGTAGAGAATGGATGATGGGAGCAAGTTTTGGAGAAACTGGAAGCTTCTAGTCCTGAACCTGCATGTTGGCAATGAATTTAGTCATCAACACCATCATAAAGGAAGCTATCAGCAAAGAAATTAAATACTTGGATACACGATAAAGCTGCCCACAAGGACAAAACAGTTCAAATTTTATCAAATAACAGTAAACCCCATCAAACTTTGAAAATAAGTATTTAAGATGTTTCAAACTGCCACAAAAGCATCAGCTAAAGTATATGGCATATTACTCAAATTTTTTAATCTGAATTTTAGTTAAACATATATACTAAGTTTATACATATTCTGTTATTAACACTTACCTGAATTCTTGACCATTGACAATCCCTTTCTTTCCAATGTCCAATAAGCAACATACAGATAAAATACCCAAACTTGCAGAAACATTTTAAGTAAAACCTGGCTAGTTAAAATATCAAATTCAGCATTTCAGAACTAATATTTTAATTGTGCTTTTAATTCAGTCATTGTCCAATGAATGATCTTAATCTACTTTCACTAACATCAACACTGACAAAGAGATGACATATACAAATTCTTCTGCAAGTTTAGCTTGAAATTAACTGTTTCTATCCTTTAAGTATATCTGAAGTTAATATTTTGCATACGTTTTCCAACAGAATATAAGTATTAACAGATCAACTCATAAATTGTACTTACCATCAAGGTCTTGGATTTGGGTGAGAAATAAGGCAAACAGTGGACGTGTTAGTACTTTTTTTAACATTTCAATACCTATTGGGTAATTTGGGTAAAGGACGGCTTGTGTGGTTACACCACCAGCAAACAAAAATATCAGGAACATCCTGATGAAGGCCACAAAATCATGCTTAACCTGAAAACAGACATACATATGCAAGTTACAACCGAGATTTAAAAAAAAGGAAACATTTCAATTTAAAACATTAAGTTATGCTGCTAATAATAAACAGATTATATAATCAAGGCTGACAATGTAGATATGATTGTATGCATATGAGGAGGTGCTGAAAAGATCTCAGGCAGACCAAGAAAGGATTTCAGAAACAGTATTAATGTTTGATCATTTGGCCAGATTTTGGAATATGGGTTGAACCAAAAACTCTTCAGAACCTCTAGGAGAAGGCCACAAATATAGGACACCCAGTAATGGTCAAACTTATTACATAGCAATAATGATTTGCAATGCCAGCTTGTTAACCATTACACCATGATGAAATGCCCTGATTTCATATATAATTCTTAAACTAGAGAAATTACATTCAGACCTCATAAATTTTCTGCTGCTTTGTCCGATTTGTTTTTTAGGACTTAACCCTTTATGGATTATGTAAAGCCAAAACATGGATTGTAGGAATTTGCTAACAGTACCTGGTGTTCCCCAAGCAGTCCCCTTCTAAATACAGACCAGACAATGCTGTTTAACTTCAATATCGGAAGAAAATGAGTAACTACCAACACCAAGGTTCATGTGTGACACTCTGGATTTATGAATATATGTTTTCCGCCAGGTGTATAAATAGCGGTATCAGACTACTGACTGTAGTGACTATTGAGTGGAACTATCCAGTCAAATTAGTGTAAATTATTGTGTGTTGATGATTTGGGTTTTGATTTAGGATTTACTGGATGTTAAACCAAGCAGCACTATTAACAAGGCATTCACTGAAAGGGTTAAGTATTAAGTTGATTTTTACTTCTTTGTTCTTGTTAAGTATTTATTTGCGGTTGTAATTTAATACTGTTTTATCTTGACTTTGAAGTCTTGAGTTATACTGAATTATTAACGATCACCATATGTCACAATAAAAAAAAAAAATAATAATCAAGCATTACTTTTTCTGCTCCTATTAGACCACTATGCTGTTTAAAAGTTTAATTTCAATTCTTCCATCATATAAATTATTACAAGGACTTGAAAATTCTTTCCAATTATTTTTATTCTTTTGAATAGTGTGCATTAACACTCATGACACTCTTGTCTTGACAGAAATTTCAGTTTGCATAGGTTTATAACTTACAGATAACTTTCAGAAAAGAACCTAAAAAAATGGACATAATTTACCTGAAGCTTGCATAAACATCTCAGGAAAAGAAAAAATGTTTTATTGATGATTTCAAGAAAAATGCAATATGGGAAATAATGAGATCCATGAACATAATAAATATATACATATATATTAGATATATGTGTATATATATATATATATATGTGTGTGTGTGTTCTCATTCACTGATCGAGCACTATGAAGCAAAGGTAATTTTTAATGGCTGCTGCTACTTTAATGTGCCATTCTTCATAAGAATTGAGTGCTATGGTTGCTGGTATGGCATTTATATATCACATATATAATGCATTATAATATTCCCTTTCTCTGCTATACGCTGATAACCTAGGTGTAAGAGACTGACTGATGCCAAATCAGTCAAGTTTCAATCCTGGCTTGAAGCAATCAGATGCTAGCCACACTGATGAGCTGTGATACAGCAAAATAGTCTGTCTGTGGATGACTATGTGTATATATATATATATATATATATATATATACACACACACACATACAAATAAATTCATTATTACTATAAACATTATATACACATGTTTCAGTGGACATCCCTGTTTTTTTTTTGTTTTTTTTTTACAAAAATGGAAATGATGTCCTGTCTTCCAGCCTGGGCAATGGAAAGTCTTAATAAATAAATTGTGCCTTTCATCCTTCTTCTATTGAGGAAACAATCTGTGAGCTAGGTGGGCTTTAGACCTTTATCAATTAGGCTAACAGAAGCCATCGTAGCAAAAGAAGGCACAAATACCCTATTTTATGAAATGCACATCTCTCATTGGCGCATTTCAGAGGCTATATATGCTCATTTTATTTTCATACCTGAAATGTAAAGCTTAATTTTTAAGGCACACTTGGTTTAAAAATGATTTCTCTGATGGGAAAGGGAAACAGAGATTCAATTCCTGTCGAGAGATACATTTTCTTTACTCAGATTTCTCAATTTCTATACCAGTTGATATCAATTTCATTGTTTAAAAAAAGATATCCACTCAAACATATGTACCAACTAAATATAACATTTAAATCCATTGTGTTATATATATATATATATATATATATATATATATATATATATATATGTAATATATTATATTATTTTATATATTATATGCGTGGTACTTATTAGAAAGCGCTCAATATCAGAGCTGACGATCGCAAAAGTGTGAAACCCAGGGTCACAAACTCGCATCAATCCAACCAAATATATATATATATATATATATATATATATATATATAAAATGGTGGCAGATATTTCTGGTTCATTGTATTACCCTAGCAGTTATTGTGTAGTCAGCAACGGTTATATTTTAAATCATTCTAAAAATTATTGAGTAGAAATAATTGTGGGTCAGAATGCGGTTATTGTGCTGTTCAACATTACTCTGAGAAATCCAAAGTAATGGTGAATAGCGCAAATAGTAACACCTGTGTCAAAATTACCATGAACAGGAATTCACTGGATGAAGTGTCCAGTTTTAAATACTTAAGAGCAATCTTGTCTAAAGACGGTACATGCAACTTGGAAATCTGCACATATATTGCCACAGCCATGGCAACAATGGCTAAATTGGCAAGAACATGGAGGAGCAAAATCAGCTTTCAAACAAAGTACAAACTGTACAAATTGCTGGTAGTCTCCATTCTCCTATATGGATGTGAAACATGGACACAGTTGGCAGAAACAGAGGGAAGGATCCAATCGTTTAAGAACAAATGCATCAGAAAACTCCTTGGCCTCTTATATTGGGAAGATGAAAACTAATGAGTTTGTGCAGAAAAGGGTTTTGGTTATGAGCATATTCATAGTTTGTTAATTTGTTTATTATTTATCTACATATTTTCTTTATATACAAACATATATATATATATATATATATATATATATATATATATATATATATTTTTGTAGTTTAAATTTTAAATGAGTCCCTATATTTTAAATGAGACATCGTTTGTACAATTCAAGATACCGTTGGTTCAAGCTGCTGTTTTTGCATTCCACACACTTCAAAATGTAGACCCCTTCTCCCCTTCTCACTGTTTCAGCCCTCTTTTATCAGGCCAACACTGCAGTTGACCAACCAATTACACAATAACACAACTTGTTATTGGTTGAAGCATGCCAAACTTTACAAAAACCCCTCATTATCACACATACTGCTGGAATAGCTAAGCAGATTTCAAGGCGTAAAACTCCCAATGCCATGTGCCACACATTGAGGTAAGACCTGTATTTTCTTTTGTACCAGATGCAAGCCACACTGGCTCACTTGCTTCTATGTGACTGTTCACCACATTATATATATATATATATATATATATATATATATAAAATACAGGTACAGGGTTATTTAAAAGTAACATCCAATTTTAAAATTCTTGTAATTATTTAACTATAATTTTTACAAGAAATGGATAAGAGAGGAAAGCATTTAGCATGAGATTTTATTTAAAATTTGATGTGGCCACCAATTTCACTACCAGCTTCACCAGCTGCCCAGGAATCACGTTAACTGATTTCACCATTAAACTCTTGTGGTATGGAAGACATAACTTCTTGTATTCACCCTCCAAGTTCTTCCAAAGTTTTGGTTTGGTATAATAGACTTGCTCCTTTAACCAACCCCCAAAGAAAAAAGTCACAGGGTGTTAAGTCAGGACCCCTGGCTGGACACTCATACATAAAATAGGGAGTTACTTTTCAATTATCCTGTATATATAAATATAAAATTGGACACTGAGGTCAACACCAAGTGGCAACAGTTTGTTTCATGCTTGAACACAATGTTCAGGCCATGAAGATTGTGATGAAACAGACCTTAGTATACAATTTTACATTTACATACACTATATCTGATATTGAGCACTTTTACCCATAAATATAGCATAGCATACCTTAAAACTATATATATATATATATATATATATATATATACACACACACACACACATATAGTGCAATGGATAAATCGTCATCTAAATTGTGCAAAAATTAAAATAATACTGACATCTCATTTTAACAGATATATTTAACAAAATTACTCAAAAATATCTTGAAATACTAAATAGTAAATTTATTCAATAAAATCACCATTGACTTCAATCATAAACTCCAGACAACTTCCAAATCTCCTCGTTTAAGTTGGTGAATGCTACCATAATCTTTGCCTTTAGTTCATCTTTGGTGTTACAAGGAGTTTTGTTGGTTTCTCATTCAACTGTGCACCACAGATAATAATCAAGAGGGTTGTAGTCTGGAGAATTAGGCAGCCAGATATAAGGTATGATGTAGTTGCATAAATTGTCTGACAGACAAAACTAAATTCTCCTGCTTGTGTGACATGGTGCAGTGTCCTTTTGCCAGATAGTGTTTTTCTTGCAGCCACTCCCTTGACCCAGGGCAGAACTACCCTCTAAAGGCAATTGATGTAGGCCTCCATGTTAAGTCTGAGGGCCTCACCAACAAATTCAAGAGTTCTTATCCGAATGATCAGAGTGAGTTTTATGAATTGATATACCTTTGCAATCCCCATTAGACTCATCCAACTCTTTCCAAATCCTCTGTCCTCAGATTGACACCCAAACACTCTGAAATATTTGTATTGGAACTTCCAGCATGAATGCCAAACAGTGCAGCATGACATTTCCTAATTTCTGGCAGACTGAATTGCATCCTGGTGCTCTTTTTCTCACAGACAGTGTCCAACTGACCTTACTATACTATGGAGTTGACAAAAATCAAAAACAAACAATTTGCATATGCAAAATTAAAAATATAAAATGGCTACAAATTACCCATCAAACCCTGTATAAGTTAACATTGAAGTCAACACTCAGAGGCGACAGGCTGTTTCATGCTGGACGCAACTGTCAGGAGGCCTGATGATTGCGTCCAGCATGAAACAGCATGTCGCCTCTGAGTGTTGACTTCAATGTTCACTTTTATATTTACATGTGCTCTATCTCTGATATTAAGCACTTTATCCCATAAATATAGCACACCTTAAAACTATATATTTTTATATATATATATATATATATATATATATATATATATATATATATATATATATATATAAAAAAGAGAACAGTAAGATATATAATCCGGTGTTCTTATTGATATTTTTATTTTTACAAAATAGTGCTCAATGTAAATTTACAGAGCATTAATATTATAAATTAACTGATTTAAAATATGTTTTTTTTCACTACACAGTTCTAACCATGTTTCAAAAATGGAAGCTAAAAGCTTCAAATTTAATTTTGTAATTAAATTAAAGACATTAGTTCCATTTCATACTCAAGCGAATTTTGAAGACTTCATATATATTTTAAATATATATATATATATATATATATATATATATATATATATATATATATATATAAAAAACAATGATTTGCTAAGATTTGTTTGCAATAAAACAATGTCAGTATATATGTATGTTCTACTTACCATTCTGACTATGCGTACAAGGTTGGGTCCTAACGTTGGACTGATGGGCAGGTAGACTCCAAGCAGGCGATAAAAGAAATAAATCAAGCCAATTGCCATGACAATCTTTGCTGTGATAAAATCAGAGAAATTCACCCAATGGGGAATAATGCGCAGAATCAGGTAAAGAATGAGAAACACTAGAATTAGTGCTATCTCGACACAGTGCCCAAGCAATGAAAGTGCTTTATATTTCTGAAAAATAAATAATGAATAATAAGTCTTCAGCAATATTGTTTAAAAAATAATGTTATGAAATAAATATTTTTTTAAAAATTGATTTTTCATTAAATTATAGCAAAACTATATCGTTATTTCAGAACACTAGTGTAAGAGCACAAAAATAACAGCAACTCACTTTCCTACCAAAATGCTGTCATGTAAGCTTTCCAAATAAACAGTTACTTGGAGACATGACAGCATTCAAGTAACTTGTCAGAATACTTTACTAAGTAAATTTTAATATGTGAATAGGAGTAGATAGCTTCACCTATCATCCAGATCATTCTCATTTCTGGTTTTTTGAACAGGAGTAGAGGTTTATTGCTTGCTTCCAGTTTAGGATTGGGTTTCAAATTCCCTCTAAAGTCTTTTTCATTCTCTTTCACTCAAGGTAGCCCCTTGCATCTTAGTGGCATAATCACCTTGTTTAGGGTAAATTGATTTAGCTTCCACAATTACATTAGATTAGTGAGGAAAGAAAGAAATAAGTCAGCTTTATAACTAAGTACATTCAATTTGTTTAGCTTTGTATATATTGTTTACTTCTCACATTTTGTAGGTTATGCTAAATAAATGTTTCTCTGGTAATTGGTATTTATGTATCACTCATACCCTATTCTCCATGTTTTCTTGTTGGGGATACCTGCTAGGGTGTAAAGTCAATTTTTTTTTTTTTTTTTAAATCAGTGCCACTAGCACTCAAGGGGCTACAGAGAGTTTAAGCAAGGGAAAAGACTGGATATAGGTGGCGGGGTGTTGAGGAAAGGATAAAAAGAAGAACGGAGGAGGATAAAAAGAGGAATGGGAATCAAAGCAACAGAAAATGTCGATTGACATTACATTTAAACTTTTGAAGATTATAGTTATCAGGGAAGCAATTAAGAGGAAGGGAGTTCCACTGTTGTGGAGTGCAAGAGAAGAAGCTGTTGGAGTAGAAGAGGCAGTTACATTTAACTATTTTGACAGTAAAAAGGTGGGACCGAAATGCCAACCTTAAATTTAAGTCCTTTGTAGAGTGCATTTCACGTCTTTGTATACCAAGCATTTATTTTTCATAATTACATTCCACACTTTTTTGGCAGTCTTTTCTGCCACAGTTAGGATATTTTTCTAATACTAACAGATGTTTTATTTGATTTTGTAAATATGTTACATCACTGTATATAAACACTGGGGAAATTTTTTAATGTTGTTATTTTTTTAACCTTCACCTCCTAAAAAGTTAAACATACAGGATTAACTTGAAACTCATGGAAAAAATATGGTATTAGGGTGTCTGTAGTAAGACTGCATAGTATAAGTGTGGTGTTTTGGCGAAAGGGAAAGTATTCAAGTGAATTGGTTAGTGATTGTAGTTAGCAAAGTTAGCGACAGGACAAGTGTTGACCAGTCTCTCCACTTTCCCACCATTTTGCTTTTGTGGCAGATTTGTACTTTGAAATAAAATAAATATATCTTGGAGATTTCATCCTTTCCATATTCTTTTTTTCTATCCATTTATTTTTCATACTTTTTTTTTGATGTTGTTACACAATCATATAGGACAAATTTTGTTTAAGATTTTGCTTTTTGCTCTTATGATAAACAAGTTGACTATATATAAAAGTGGATCATTAAGTTCATAACCTGACATGGTTAGTAGTGGAATGCAGATAACAGTCAGAGAATCTGGAAAGAGAGATTCTCAAAATAAACAACAAAAAAAACAACAAAAAAAAAAAAAACAGAGGTTATTAATCGGAATAATCACAGCATTAATTACAACAAAGAATGCAATTGGAGGTATTTAACATTTCTTTTTGAGGATGTCAATAAATATTATCACATAAAGTCCACTATTATAACAACATTTTAGGGCCAGGCAGGCAACGGCAGCAACAAAAAAAATAATTATCATGACTTTTTTTTTTTTTTTACATCATAAACATTAATAAAAATAAAGTTTTATTCTTTATAAACGCTTAAACTTTAAAAATGGAAACCAACTTCCTCAAATTTAAGATTCTATCCCAATCAGAGAGAAATGTTGACAATGAAATAAGTCACAAATTCGAGTGAATGGGGATGAAATGACAACCATAGCAAAAGTATACTAGCAAAACAGATTATTTTTTGTTTTATAATTAAGTATATTTGACAATTCAATTTTGTGCCTGCAAAAAAAAAAAAAAAAAAAAAAAAAAAAAAAAAACAGTGTGTTAAAAGTTATTCCCTTGACACCACTATTACTGTATACACGTTTGACTCACTCAACAATATTTATTTACAAGATTATAAAAATATGTGAACCAAGTACAACGTGATATTTGTTATTTACCATTTTATAAAGATTTATTTGTCATTTGATAAAGAAATAATTTTGAAAAGAAATTTTATTCAAAAATTTATTAAAAAAATTACAAAATTATCAAAATATGTAAACCATTTACAATGCAATATTTATTTACTATTTTATAAATAACTATGAAAATAAGTTAATTTTTTTTTTCAATCTAATAAATAAATAGTGTAATATATTGTCAATTCTCAAGTAAATTCATTTCCATATGTTTGGGGTTTATTAAAATTCTTATCTTTGTTTTTTTAATAACAAACATTGCTGAGGGAGTGAAAAGTGTAGATAGTAATAATGGTGTCAAGGGAATCACTGTCCTTGTGAAACTTCTTTTTGGCACAAACATTGATATTTTTTTTTTGTTTTTTATATACAGGTATATCGATTTTGATTAAATTATACCTGGTGTTTGATGTACGTCCGACGAGCAATTTCTGTGACTATAACCAGTGTCCATAGCCATACGATAAGATCCAGGAAAATATTGCCACAGGTGGGCCATAACACAGCCAGGCTAAAGATACCCAGATAAATGAAATAGAACACCTAAAGTTGATAAAAAAAAAAAGAAAATATATTAGCAGAAAAATAATCTCCAGCAAACTATATCTAAAACTGTAAAATAAAATACATACAAAATGGTAAAATTATAGAAACATATTGGCAATTCTATCATACTGTCTTAAAAAGTACAAATTAAATAGGTTATTCCATAATTATTAACACATGAAAAATGTGGTCAAACTACTTTAATATTTTATATATGAAATTAGAAAATACTTATCTTCTCATTTTATATCAGCAATTTGTCAGGAAATAATCAATGTTTAGTTGTTATCAAAGATTAACTTTATATTGTAGGTTTTAGAATTTCATGTGGGAATTAAATATAAGTCGGATGAAAAAAATTAAAATATGACTGCCAGAAATTTATTTTGAAATACTAACCTGGGTCATCCAAAATTTGGTGATTGGTGAACTCCACAGCAAGTAAATTTGTTTCCAAAATGGTAGTTTTAATTTACGTTTGCGTCTCAGGGCAGTTCGTAATCTTGCTCCAACAGACTTTTTTCCATTCTGTAAAAACATTTTAAAATTTCAATTGTTTTATGATTGTTTAAAATCATTCTCTGATGGTCAAACAATACAAATGTTATGCAAATAAGAAAACATTTTCTGTGTTGTTTAACAGAGATATTATTTTTAAGAAGGCATGTTGAATTATATGTTAATCTTTTTATCAGTTACAAGGTAATTATTTTCCCATATGTCAATTAAGATATTCAGTCTTAATTAGAAATTCATGGAATTTCAGATTTTGGACATCATATTTCAACATGGTCATAAAAACTAACTGAGGATTATCAATAAAAATATTGAACACTTAAATTTTATTCTAAATGATACAGTCTAAATATGCTGCCAAATATTTTTCCAATACAAAGACTACTTTGTAGGTGAAGAATTTAGACATTAGATAACTTGTACTAGGAAAATCTATGACAAGATGGAAAGTTTCTGTGTGAGACATTTTGTCCTTTACCACTTCAGACTAAAGTGATATTTACATTGATGCGGCTACACATATGTACATAGGAAAAAGAACGCTGTGAATTAAAAATTTAATTTTTTTTTTTTTAAATGTGTTTGGATATATAGTCTAGCCCATTTCATTTAGTTTTTTTTTTTTTTTTTCTGTTTACATTTTTTTATCACTTTTGTTATTAAATATCCGACATCGTGATAATAGATGCTCTACCAAGAAAGGTGAAATGTTGTAAGAACCTGGACTTAAATTTACTGGGGATGATCTACTGATTTAAGCATTTCCTATACATTTGTGTCTTAGTAAATGGCTTTCTCTTTTAATTACCATTTTAAATTTAAATGTAAAATTACATCCCCTCTCCTTTATATGTATATGCAGTTGCATCAATGTAAACATCACTTTAATCTGATGAAGTCTTAAAGGAAAAAATGCATCACATGAAAACTTTTCTACTCTGTCATAGATTTTTCTGAAATTGTTCTTGCTATATAAAAATTCCTATATATCATTTTTCCATAGCTTGTTTGTGAAATGAAACTAGAATTATAACCAGTAATCTCTAGGTGCACTGGCGCAGAGTAAAGGCAGCTGAAGACATGGAAAAATCCTAGAAATCAATTTTTATCCATTCATCAAATTTTTGCAACTCCACCAGAATTTTTTTTTAATCATTTAATCCTAAGCAAGGCAATAAAGCCACTAAGTCACAAGGGGGTTATTGCATGTTAGAGCATATGAGAAAATAAAAAAACACTATTAAATGAGAGAACAGTAAAAGAACAAGAATTAAGCAGACAGAAGATAATGACTGACATTGCATTTAAATTTTTGAAGATCAAAGTTGACTGAGGAGCAAAAAATCAGAGAGTTCCACAAACAAGATGTGCGATAGAAGAAACTGTTAGCACAAAACATATGGTTACGTCTCGCCATTTCAACTGTAAAGTGATGAAACCTTGCCAACAATCTAGTATTGCTATAATGCTATAAACTTCTTTCTTAAAGATTTTAGTTTTTCTTAAGAATTATTAGTCCCCAGAAATGAAGAATTAGGCATTTAAAATTGACTTCAAATTATATTTAGGGATATCATAGACTCTCACTATCTCTCTCTCACATACACACACACACACACACACATTAATATAGTGCCATTGTATGCTTGAATGAGATCAGCATCATTCTCCCAATAGTTTAACATGAAATTTTATAGTTGAGCAGCACTTCTATGCCATACCCCTCCAAGACATTGGCGATCACGACTCTCCACAACTTCCTAACATCTGTAGCTCTTAATAAATTTTGTCTTTTGGCCATCTCTCCCAAACCCTGATCCATTCACTCAATCTTGCCAGGTAGGTTATGCATTGTTTTCCTCTGTGCCTCTTGCCTTCAAACTGTCCTGTGAGTTTCATATTTTATAAGCCTGCTTTTCTCATTATGTGTTTTAGAAATTTCAGCTGTCTTTTCTTGATAATAATTATAAGTACCTTTTTTCTTTCCATTGTCTCTAGAATTTTGTCGTGGCTCACATGTTCTTGTCCCTGATATTCTAAGCTTCCTTCTGTAGAATCATATTACTGTTTCAAGTCTCTTCGTCTCTGAGGAGATTGTCTCACATCAACTATCATATAAGAGGACTGATATTACGTAATAGTTCAGTACTCTTTTCTTTGTTTCTAAAGAAATGTTAATGCATTAAAAAGACTTCTACATTTATTACTTTCAATGTATCCTTATTCTTATATAGATGACTGAGTATAGTGATTTACTAATCATAGTTTAAATGTAGCACAAGGCCAAAAATACAGAGCACCCAGTGAGGATCAAACTCACTACTCAGTTGTCATTGATCTAACAAGACAAGCTTGCTAATCATTAACCATTTCGAAGTGCCCAACATGACAGTGTAAGGCATGCCCAAATACATATTCAATAAAAGTGTTAACTTGTTTGCATGATCAGATGATAAGATATTCAAACATCTTACTTATTATAAAACGCAGATTGTGTGTGTGTGTGTGTCTGTACGTTTATATATTGGATCGGATTTCCTACATCTTTCAACCGATTTCAACAAAACTTCACAGGACTACGTAAAATTACCTTACGGTGGTTCTGACAGCATCAAAAATTGGAAAAAAACAATTCTTTTTGCATGAAATCAATTTGAAAACAAAACACGATTCTGTCGCCAGAATGAAAGGGGGACAACTCATATCGAGTTATACTTATTATAAAACCCAGGTTGTTTGTGTGTGTGTGTGTGTGTGTGTGTGTTCGCTTATATATGGGATCGGATTTCCTACATTTTTCAACCAATTTCAACAAAACTTCACTTTTTTTGGCAGGTAGTGTTTCTTATTGTCTTGCACACTTTTTTCTTTATTTTTATATTCAGAATGCTTTAAAAATTCCATTTACAAGACAATTGTTTATAATGAAATTCTATACAATCAGACTCATAACGATTGAAAACAATGTTTTTGTTTGAGTTTGACCAATTCGTAAAAAAAAAACAAAAAAAAACTAATTAAGACTTGCGTGTCCGTCAACCTTAAACAATAATCTTTGTCAATTTTATTTTTCAGTCTTCATAATGGTCGATACTTGATCTATCTCTTATCACCGGGCTCTACTACTAGTACCAAATAAAACAATGGAATTGACTTAGTCACAAGTGGCAACAGGTCCTATAAGACCTGTACACAGCACTGAAATTCTCTGTATTCTCATCTAGTACACAATGCAATAAGATATCAATGTATGATTCTTTCTTTACATCAGGTGGGCTCAGCCAGTGTCTGTTAAATGCCATACATGATGCATACTTGGGCAATTATGTATCTTTTCATTCATGACTGATGAGGCAGATTTTTTCACACATTAGGTTGATATTTCTTTCCGCAATAGACTGGTTGCCAACCAAGGCTAAAAAACATATCCTGCTAATCAACCCATAGATGGGGGGGGGGAAAAGAGATAGATTCATACCTTTCCCAAGAGTATTTGTGCATAAATGAACCTAACAAACTAGACTGGAATTTGAACTTGGCTCTCTGAGTTCTCACTCCAAGTCGATACCCATTACACCACAACGCACATCCTAGCAGTGTATAAACTGCAATGTACATCAGATAGTGTACAAAATGCAAATGCATTGACTAGTAAAATATTTTCAATGTAATATTTACAGTATTTATTTCTTACAAATAAATATAAGAAAACCAATACATTCACAAAAAGAAAGTGCAATATATTTTATTTACAAATGTTTCTGATTATTATTAATGTTATTTTTAGTTGGTACACTTGTTTGAGTTGCTATTCCAGTTTTTTATTTTCTTAAACAGTGAAATTAAGTCACTGACACCAGTTCGCATCCAAACATTAGGGTTGTCATCCTCTCTCCTTATTCCCCTTCTCCCCTCCAGTGGCCATGGCAGAGAAGACTCATGAACAGGAGTCACAGAGGAGTGTGGGTGGTGGATGCAGATGGTGCAGATGTTTAAATATCTAGGAAGTGTTTTAACAGAGGATGGAAAATGTGACATCAAGATCCAAACACATATTGGACTAGCAAAAAAGGTATTCCAAAAGCTAATCAAGGTGTTGAGGAACGGAAAAATTTTGTTCAAAACAAAGAAAAAGTGCTGTATTGCTATGTGATATGCATCCTCTTATATGGCTTTGAATGAGAAGAAAACAGGACATGGCAGAATTATGGACCTATAGAAGGATACTGAAAATTCCATGAAGTGAACAAGTAAGCAACAAAGAAGTCTTTAAGAAAATGGCAACAGAAAGAAACATTAGAATCAGGAAAAGACAACTGAAATTCCTTAGGCACATAATGTAGAAGGAAGGTTTTGAAAATTTAACCCTCACTTGGCATACTGAGGGCAAAAGAGACTTGGTTGGTTGATTCATTTTTTATGGCTTATCAACTCTTTGCAGTTTATTTAAAGCTAGGAAAATATTTTTAGATTGGAAAAATTTTCTTCATTTAGTGATACAGTTCTTACTAATTAACCCATAGCTGGAGGGAGACGAGGTGGATTCATACCTTTCCCAAGGATATTTGCATATATGTGAATATAATGGAAATTGGAACTTGGTACCCTAATTAATAATTCTGAGCCATTATACATTATACCACCTACACATCCAAGCTTCATGGAAGTAAATTAAAGCAGGAAGTAAGCATAGATTAATTTATTATTATTATTATTATTATTATCATCATCAAATACCAAGATGTAGGAATGAAACATTTGTTTCCAAACATCTGCATCTTTATTGCAAAGAACTTGGCACTTACAGCAATTAAGTGGAAGTAACTGTAACATATCTATGTACCATTACAGAATAATCTTTTTATAGAATAGCTTAATTTGATTGTCACAACAATAAAAATACACAAGATAATTTTTTTCAGTTCTAATCAAATGTTGTGTGAGCATCTTGTTTCTAGATTTAATATAGGAATTAATATGGTAGACCTTTCTGAAAAGTTATCTCTTTAGTATAGAATTTGGTTCTTTATCATTTACATCTGCATTAAAAGAATCTGAACAATTAATGATACAAAATTACCTATTTTACATCTAATAACAAAGCATGCAGTAAAAAATTTTCTTTGTCCTCTAATTATTTTTAAAACAATGTTCTTGCAAAAATTATCCAATAAACCATAAAAATAGGTTAAACAATGAAAATAAGATTTTTTTCAAAATCTTTATGACTGTATAAAGGAAAATAAATAAAAAATATTTTGGCCTTGGAACAAAAAATGGTTGTGTTATTATATTGCTGAAGTTTATATATTTGTGTAAATATATTTATAAGTTTAATATATATATATATATATATGCCTGTGTGACTATATTTAAGTTTTATATATATATATATATATATATATATATATATGTGTGTGTGTGTGTGTGAATATATTTATAAAGTTATATATATATATATATATATATATATATATATTTGTGTGAATATATTTATAAGTTTAATATACATATATTTGCATGAATATATTTATAAGTTGAATATATATGTGTGTGTGTCTGTGTGAGAATATATTTATAAGTTTAATGTGTGTGTGTGTGTGTGTGAATATATTTATAAGTTTAACCTATATATATTTGTGTGAATATATTTATAAGTTTAATATATAAATCTATATTTCTGTGAATATATTTATAAGTTTAAAATATATAAGTTTGTTATATATATGTGCATGTGTATGAATATATTTATTTAATAATTTCAAGTTGAAAAATTAAAATCAGCATTCATTCATTGCAAAAGATTATAAATATGAGATCTGTTAATAAGTTTGCAAGATTTATCAAACATCTGGCCTTGATGAGTTGTCAAGGCAAGCAAGTCACTTAAACATTTTGTGATTGAGTAAATATATATGTAGAGAGAGAGAGAGAGATATGAGAAGGAAGCTTAAAAGTTCTCAACCAAAACAAGATATGATTCTTCTGAAAGAGGCAAGAATTCTAATGCTTGGTCATTTACATAAATTTGGGGAAGTGGATTGGTTGGGCTGAGAATTTTTCTGCACGCTCTCATACGTATATTCAAAATTATTTGAATCCTTGCCAAATTTAAGTTATTTAAAATTTCTATTTTGTGGAAGCATTTTGTTTTTCCTGTTAATGTAAGAAGATAACAACAACAAATTTAGAAGGTATTCAAGGAAAGAACTCTAAATTTAATTAAGATACCATAAAAAATGCCAAATTTAAAATTGAACCTATCCATCAATCCCAAAGCTTTTAGTTGCTATTACAGCTTCAAAGTGCTTCTTGTAATTTTTTATCAGCATTTTTTATCTCTCCATTGATTTCTTTTAACCATTCCTCTTTTGCAATGATTTGCAAGCCCTTGATATTCTGCAGTTCTGTTACCATCACTCTGGTTTTGAGCTCATTCCAGATATTCTTGATAAGTTTTATGTCTGGATTCTGCCTGACTCCTTCCAGAATATTGAGAATATCATTATGAACCAATTCTTGATTACATTGGCTGTATTTTTCAGAACATTGTCCTACTTAAACATCTGTCACTGGTCAGGACACAATTTTTCTACAAACTGCTTGTGGTTTCCTCCATGTTGCTAATATATTGCTTTTTATATAGCACCATCAGGTTTTACAACGGTTACAGATCTATTAGCTGAAAAGAATCCCAAACCATTACATTCACACAACTATGTTTGACCAAGTGTACAGTGTTCTTCAATATGAAGCCTCTCCTTTCTTTTTACAAAGATCATTGTATTCAAAAAGCAGCATTTCTGTTTCATCTGATCACACAAATTTTGTATAGACAAGCATTTTCAAAAGATATTAGTTTTTTATGTGCATGTTGAAGGAATTATGGTCTTGTAAGCCACTTGTACATAGTATCTGTTGAGAAGGTGATGCCAGATTCACAAAGATTCTTCAGGATTGCTTTACTTATAATTTTTTTTTTAATTTCACACAGTACTTTTCTTACCAACCAAATTGAAACCTTGTTACTGACTATATCCTCTTATTGTCTTGATATTTCTTGATATGGCTCAAACAATGTGGTCACAGACACAAGACATTGCCCTTGTTTGTCTTCAGGTAAATAAGTCAGAAACTCATCAAAATTTTTATAGATGAAGATATTTTCATCCTGAATAGATTGAAAACTAGAAAAGCCTCTTTAACCCGCCAGAGGAGATAGTTTATCAAAACAATTTTCAAATTGAAATCTTTTTTTTTTATTATCTTGATATGATTCTACGTGGGCACAGACACAAAATTGTTCAGATTTTGTAGCCTTCAATCTTTTCATTAGAAACTATGTGTAACTGTTACCCAATCAGCCATTAAAAGTTTTCAATCTTTAAATCACTGTAGGCCTGAGCAAATTGTTAAAAAATATCTGAATACATGATGTTGCTTTAATTAAAATGATATAAAAACGTTGAAAATCAGGGATTACAACATGATTTTACATGAAAGTTCATTGATTTCTCTTTCAGATTTAGACCAAATTTAGTCTCCTTGGTTATGAGATCTGGTTATGAAAATCTAGATCTTTTTTTCATTAAGACAAAATATCATCCTTGTTATGTGATGATAGATATTTACTTTAAAGGAGCTTACAAAATTCAACTTGTTTTTTCATCCACTCATTCAGGTGTCATTTCAGAGAATTTGCAGTCAAGACTGGAGTAGAATATGAATGAACATTATAAAGTGCTAATTTCTTCCGCAAAATTAAAAATATCATGCTAAAATAGCTCTTAGAAGAAAGACTTATTTTGAAATGGTAAAAAAAAAAAAAAAAAAAAAAAGACTATTTTGAAGAAATTTTTGTAAATTAGAGGACAAACAGAAATTCTTTTACTAAAAAAAAAAAACTAGAACCAAAGAAAATGCCTAACTATACCTTGAAGGGATTTTTGTATTTTGTCTTAAATAAAAAGACTACAGTCTACGGAGAAGATAAGGATTAAAGATTTACAGACCATAGTTACCTTACGGAACTCTTTTTCCAACATTGATTTGGATTGTGGTAGTCTGTTGTCTTCACTGGAGTCACTGCAACTGTCATCTTCTAATTCATCTTCTAAAGAATAAAAATAAAAAAAAAATAAAAATCCACAGTCTCTCCAATGTTCATTCTTTAAATCACAAAGAACCCACACCCCAAATGCTCAATGGCCAACAAGCAAACAAGTTCTTGTTTTATAAAGAACTTAACATACAATTAGATATTTTTTTACATATTAAAGGAAGAAAATATTTACCACATAAAGCATTTGTCTGTAAAACTATCCATGTTAAGTATGTATTAGCAAAATATACAAGAGTTTTACTATAATAACTTATAGTAAAACTCTTGTATATTTTGCATAAAGAAAATGTGAGAGTTAAGTAAAATGCTCATTTGTTATGAACTTGACTATTCAGAGTGCCATGCTGGGTAAATGTATATAAGTTACTTATATTGATTTCTTTTTTATGTCTCTTTTCAAATATTTGCCTGCTGTAGTCAGTATTAGCTGCAGACAAAATTTTTAAAAATTGGAGTCTACAAGATGTTGACTACAACATTCAAGGTAGAACATTACGTATCAAAGAACATTATGTATAAAAATGATAATAGAGAATAACTAATACTATTTATTATTATAAGGTAATTATCGTAGCTAAAATATAAGGCCAGAAATTATCTTCATATACTGTGTTTAGTTTAAAGAATTTTTTGAATCACAGTTCTTTCTTGAGTAGCAATTAATAATAAATAATGTACTATGCTCAAACAAATATGTGATTAACACATGTCAGTAAAGACGAAAAAGAGGTCCCGAATCATGTGCAGATGTGTCTGCCAAAACTAGTTACATCCCATTTTACAAAAAGAAAGCCAATCTTTATACTATCCGAGTTGTTTTCAGAATAACCACTGAGCTCATGTAATGTTCATTCTACTCAACCCTAGAAAGTTGGCTTGGAATTAAACTGCCTTTGATGTGTGTAGTCATGGGATAAGGTTTTGACATTTTTTAAAAAAGGAACTAAATTTTTAATCTTTATTATTGTGATCCAGGTGTAGTCTTTAACTACTATAGTAATAAAGAGATATCAAATAAAACTGACTCAAAACAAAATATCCTTTTATTTCTGCCCACTGGAGATTTTTAGTCTCTATAATCAGCTATACAGTATTAGTAATATTAGCTGTTTCCTTATTAACTTGTAATTGTTTATCAGTATTTGTTATCTTTCCATTGATTTCTTTTAACCATTCCTCTTTTGCAATGATTTGCAAGCCCTTGATATTCTGCAGTTCTGTTACCATCACTCTGGTTTTGAGCTCATTCCAGATATTCTTGATAAGTTTTATGCCTGGATTCTGGGTGGCTCCTTTTAGAATACTGAGAATATCATTATGAACCAATTCTTGATTACATTGGCTGTATTTTTCAGAACATTGTCCTACTTGAACATCTGTCACTGGTCAGGACACAATTTTTCTACAAACTGCTTGTGGTTTCCTCCATGTTGCTAATATATTCCTTTTTCTTTTTTATAGCACCATCCAGTTTTACAATGGTTACGTGCCCATTAGCTGAAAAGAACCCCAAACCATTACATTCCCACAACCATGTTTGGCCAAGTGTACAGTGTTCTTCAATATGAAGCCTCTCCTTTCTTTCTCTAAAGATCTTTGTATTCAAAAAGCAGCATTTCTGTTTCATCTGATTGCACAACAGACAACCAAACTTTGTATAGGTGAGCATTTGCAAAAGCTATAAAAGGTTTTTTATGGGCATTTATGTTGAAGGAATTGTGGTCTTATTGGAATGCAAACCACTTGTACATAGTATCTGTTGTGAGATGGTGATGCCAAATTCACAAAGATTCTTCAGGATTGCCTTGCTTATGATTTTTTTTTTTTAGTTTCACACAATACTTTTCTTACCACCTGAACTGAAACTGTGTTGCTGACTATATCCCCTAAGATCTTTTTTTTTATTGTCTTGATATGATTCTACAATGTGAGCACAGATACAAGATATTGTCCTTGTTTTTCTTCAGGTAAATGAGTCAGAAACTCATCATAATTCTTGTAGATGAAGATAGTTTCATTCTGAATAGATTGAAAACTAGAAAAGCCTCCTTTAACCTGCCAGAGGAGATAGGTTATCAAAAAAAAAAAAAAAAAGAAAAAAAGACAATTTTCAAATTTGAGATTCAAAACAAGTGATCAGTCCTATTTAATGATAACTTACCTTTGAGATCCATATCTACTCTTCTTTTGCTATGACTTGATGCACTTGGTACAAAAACAATCCATATGTACATAGGAAATACAAGAAAAACACTAGCCAATATCTAGAGTAGGAGAATAGAAAAGAAATAGATTCAAAAGCAAGAATATATATATATATATATGAGTTCAACAATTTAGTCCTTTAACAATTATTTATACAATTATTTTTTTTTTATTTAAGAATCTTAAAACAAAGGAAAGAAAAAGAAAATTTGCTGTAAATTCTCAAAAACAAAAAAAGATGGATAAATTCACCTTCATCAAATGTTTAAGTTTTATTCCAATTCTAAACATCACTTTTTAAGAACAAACATTGCCAAAGAATAAAGGAAGTTAAAAAATATCATTGTGGGTAAACCCGTCCTTTTAATACTAAGTCTTATTGTCAACACATTTATCTATGTTTGCCAAATTACTTTTCCACATTATACCAGAATAAAGAAATAATAAATTCAACTTGAAGAGTTTAATATGTTATTTAATATTTTATGACATGCTACTTTAACAATAGATTTCTATTAAAATTTATTTTTCCAGAATAAAGAAATAAATTCAATTCAATGAACAACTAAGAAATACAAATATGATTTCAAAAACATTACACTTCTCATTCAATATAAACATACATATGAGGGGTGCTGAAGAATTGACCTGACTCACTTTTCAAAATCTGATCAAATTGTTTTTGAAATATCTTCTTGGTCAGTGTAGTGAAACAGGACCAAGGAATTCTAACCTACCTGTGGCTAAAAGGCCACAATGTCTTACCTGCCTAGTCAGAGCCACCATTTGCAATTTAGGTAAAGCACATGCGTGGTTCTAGTGCTTTTAAAACTATCACTAATTTACATGCATTGTAAAAAAACCTGAATAAATGGTGAACCACACAGATGAGTAGGGAAGAATCTATAGACCTTGACCTGTGTTGGACTGAGTTTATGGCAACTATCAATTACAGTTAGGCAAAGAATATTTCAGCATTTCCCCCTCCTTTATAGAATACTTAACCTGGAATAATGTCTCCACTAAATGACCAACAGGATGCAATAGTTTTTAATGTCAACTTTCTGAATTCTGTGAATGCAATAATACATACCTTAAACCAATAGGGCAAACGGAAGACACCCCAGTCAAGTTCTTTAACTTGAATGGATCCAAATAACTTTTTGGTTAACCATTTCTGGCAGCAGGGATGGGCAATGAAATGAAGATAGCCAGAATCATGGGCAATTTCAATGGAAGTTTTGTTGTTAAAATCAGGAAGTGGTCGACTCAACATGCTATATGCCTGAGCACTGGAGTCACGGAAACTGATATCTAATGTGCCCAGAGCCATCTTGCCAAATTCGCTGAAAAACAAAGTCCAAAATGATTTTAAAAAGTGTACCCTAATTTGGTAACTTCAATATTCTTTCTCCTCTTAAGCTGGTCTTTATCAAATGGAGTGCTTTGAAAATTGGCTCAACACTCTAAGATCCATATTGCTAATCAGCCCAAGAAATTATCAATTGTCAAAGACATCTCCCAAACAAAGTACTTCATTTCACTTGAAATAAGTTTAAATGTTGACTTAGGATCAAAGGAAATAAGCTAACCTTGTTTATTCTGTGCACATCATTAATTCAAAACTCTAACAAAAAATGCAAAGAAAGTATAGTGATTTACTAATCATAGCTTAGATGTGACACAAGGTTAAAAATAGAGAATCGAACTCACCACTCAGTTTTAATTGATCTAGTGAGATAAGCTTGCTAACCCCTACTCTACGTTGAGGTGCACATGCAAAGAAAGTAAACATTTTTAAATAAAACAAATGAGCTCTTTTAATTATTCACCAACATGTACATATCTGTTATAAATGATTTACAGTAATTTGAACAAATAAATCAGATAAAAACAAATTCACCCAAAAATCTCTCCATGAAAATAAATGTGACTCATTCAATAAATCAATTGCAATGAATCACACCAGGTCTGTTTATTATTTTTGAAGCCTATCTTGATCAGCTTAGAACTTTTTAATACCCTTTCTTTTCTTTGTGTGTGTGTGTGTGTGTGTGTGAAAATATTCTTTTTTTGTTCAATTTCAATAAAGAAAAGTAATCTTTTTAAATAATAACCACAAAAAACTTAGTAATGTTCATAGTGTCATGATGCCAAGATTAATATTCATAATTGGCCATATTCATTCCCTGGATAAAAATAAAAGAGAAATAAATTAAAATTCTACTTTGGTACTTTTTTTTTTTTTTTTATCAAATATGATTCAGAAATTGAATTTGCCAATACTTAAAATTAAGATTATTCAAACAAACCTAGATAATTTGGGTTCATTTTCCTTAATCTATATGAAGTTGCATTCGCAAGAAAGACATTAGCATTTAATGCTGATATGATTAAAGCAGAACAAGATTTCAAACTAAACAGCATTTCCTAAAATTAGCATTTCTTCCAGTTTTTAAACTAAAAAAAAAAAAAAAGGATACAAAGAGTTTTGCTTTCATTCTTTAGAAGCAAAGATTCCAGCACTTTTGTAGCAGGTATTGCAATTGAATACCAATAAACTACCATTAGTGTGGAGTAATGAAGTTACCTGGCATTTTGTTCCATTTCGCACCGTTGATAAAGTTCCATCGAGAAGTTGGCCATTTGCTTATAGATATCACTACAAATCAATGCAATAGGAATCGGATCATCAGATCTTCCCCAAAGCAATTTTGCAAGCTTGTAACGATTCATGAGCACAGCCCAAACAATTAAACAGTTGATAGCCTGCAAAAATAAAAGTAAAAGACAGAAACAAAAGGTAGAAACAAAACTTCTAATCTGAAAATCAAAAGAATATGCATAAAAATGCATTCATATGCATGCTTTCATGGATAATTCTAAAAACTGGCAAAATTACACAAAAATTGAATCACTCAAAAATCAACAAATTTCATTGGCTTTTTATTTATTTTTTCTTTAGATATATAGTAGCATAAAATCTTCATCATCACCACCACCACCATCAATGACTGGATGGGGTCATAGGTTCACTGTAGCATAATATCTAAGAATCAAATAATTAATACTTTAGTTTGCAAATCTTTACATCATAAGTGTCCAAACAGATATCTATTAATCTTGGCTGAATCTGGTGCAGTAACTGTTCAATCTCATTCCACAGTACTAATCAATATCTTCTACCATGTATTCCAAGATATAGGACTTTTTTTTTTTAAGCAAATCAACCCAAGCAAGGCAGGAGTGCCACTAGCATGCAAGTGGTTACAGAGAGTGAGAGGAAAAGTAAAGAGAAGTGTTTGGGGAAAAGGGTAAAAAAAAAAAAAGGACAGGAATCAAGGTCAAGGCATCAGAAGATGTCTCAAACCTTTCCAAAAGAGAAACTATGATCTGGAATTGGAATGAAAGCAAAAATAGCACCAACATTCACCATAAAAATTCAAGATGTGAAATTAGTGAAAACTAAACACTTCAAATACTGCAGCATATGGATCAATTATAACAAATTTAGTATAGGAGAAAATCAAATTGAACAAAGAATAGACTGCACTAGAGTTAGTTTCACCCAACATCACAAACGACTACAAAATAAAAACATTAACCTGTAAACTTGAGTCATGTTCTTAAATAGATTTGTAAGATCAAGAGTTTTATATGAATGTCATGCATGGCACCAAACTTGTTCAGAAATATCTAAACTCTCAGCTGTATACAACCATTTTCTCAGATCAATGGTTAAAAATGGCTTTGAGCAAATGAAGTCTGTGAGTCCTGGCAAAAAACATCAAACATTGAAACTAACTACAGAATCAAAAATGACTGTACCAAATAAAAGAAGCCACACCACTTGAGCAATCTCAACAGCAACAACTGTTAAAATGGATATCACATGTAACTCGAAGAGAAAACAATGGCGTAATAAAGATGTTGATGTTCACACTACTTCAAATAAAAGGTTAAGAAGGAAATCCCCCTCAATACTGGAAAGAGGGATAACAGCTACTGGACATTAGAAATCTATTTTCTTGAAAAACTGTTTTAAGTGAAAGATTTTATAAATTTCAACCAACAGAGTAAACTGGGATCACTAGTTTTGGGTGGCAACCAAACCAAGAGGAGAAAAAATGGATTGAAAACTGGTGAAAGCAATGAGAATCCACTATCTTCCCACATCTGATTTTCAAATTTGTCTGGTTTGGTTGGTTTTGTTTTATGGCATATCAACCTCAATGAGTTATTTAATGCCAACAAAATTTTTGTTGCTGGTAATATGTTTTTCCTTCATAAATCTATTTTTGGTAATATTTTTTTCTTCAAAAATGTATTGCTGACAATAATTTTAAAAAAAAAGTATTTCTGGTATTAAAATCTATTTTTACACTTTCATAGTGTTTTGACCCTAGTTTGGAGGTTAACTATTTGCCCATAGCTGGGACCCTAACAGGTGCTACCACCCTGGGTCAGGGTTGACCTGGGAACAGCAGCAATTAAGAGGTGGCTCCATGCTCCTCAAAACCTCCTGATGAGGCCTTGCTGTTGGACATAATTTATCATCTTACCCAGGACACGGATGTAGTTTACCATCATATCCAGGACTGTCAAATTTGTTTATTAGATTTACTGTTTAGTAGATTACTGTACTGCATAAACATTTAGAAATAAATTAGAAATGTGACAAATGGAGCAATAGTTGCATTAAAGCTATTTGAAGTATATTGACACGAACCTATTATATGTGTAGTACAGCTAAAATACTAGTCAGGTACAACTTTTCACTTAGTGACCAGCTCCTTGGAACAGAACCCTGTTGATAAGGAGTAGCTGTACACTTGTTTGAGTAGAGATCCCTGTTATTCACCAATAGGAATAGATAGGTTTGTCAATCATCCAGTTGACACTGCTTCCTGGTCTTTTGAATAGGAGTAGAGGTTTCCGGTTTAGGATTGGGTTTCCAGTTCTTTCTAAAGTCTGCTTCAGCTCTATACACCTAACACTTGTTCTTTCCCATGCTAATAATAAATCCACGCCGTAACCCTCTACCTTGAGTGGTTCTTGGGCCATGTATTAGGTGAACATTTGTTAAAAAAAAAAAAAAAAAATAAATAAATAAATATACTGGCTGCTTGGTCAATGAATGCAGAATGCTTCCTTATAAGGAAATGACTAATATTACCATTGACAATGGCCTTTTAAACTATTTCAGTAACCATTACTCCACAGTGAAAGTACCCTATGTATATCAGAATAAGCTTGGCTAAGAACAATACAAATCCAGAAAAAGGGACCCCCCCACTCCACAATAAGGATCAAAGAATCTGCATATGCTAATGACACTAATTTACCTAATATTGTTCAAATTTGGTACCCTAACTATTTATTTATTATAGTCTGGCTACATATCATGGGCAAGATCAAACTCACAATACAGAATTAAGGCTCTACTAGGCAAGTTTGATAACCAATGGGTAATCCCTTGATGGCGCACCCATTTGTCGGGCATCCAGTGAAGGGCAAACTTATGTAGTAGTTATGGTGTACTTGTCTCATTAACCATTACACTACTGCAAAGCACTCTTGGTATTCACTAGATTTAATATGGCACAAGGCTTTGGATACCAAGTAAGGTTGAAACACATTACACAAATCTGCTAGGAAAATGATTAGTTAGTTTCTTCATTGATTGCACCATTTTTAATTTTTTCAATTTTTTTCAATTGATTTTTAAGCGCTTTTGGGGAGCAAGATGGGAAGGTCATAATCAATGATTCCAAATCAAATAGCAAAACCTGTATCAAATTCCTCTTCTTTTATTGTTCTTGCTCCTTAATAATATTCTTATATTCTTTGACACTCAGTAACCACCTGTGCCCTAGTGGCTTTGTTGCCTTGCTTGGGGTGAAATGATAAAGTATTAATCCTAATGAATTAGAAGACATAAGGTTGCTTAGTCTCAACAACTCAATATGTGTATCAGAAAACTGACAGATTAGAAGTGAATAGTTACTAACCCCTTTGAGGATGGAGACTCATTTGGAATTTCAGTGCCAAGAAGACAGAGCCCTTTTCACCCGAAACACACACACACAAAAAAAAAAAAAAAAAAAAAATCAATGTAAAACCACAAAACACAGCAAATTATCATAGAAGCCACAATCGAAAGGCCCAGATGTGTAAGAAATGTGAGAAGCAATCCGATTAGCTGGTATGAAGACCAGCCTGCTAATCTCGAGGCTTGTATTATCAGGCCAAAGGATCAAACCAGTTGTCTTGTTTCATTCAACTTTTCAGATGATAGATCAGCTGTCATCTCCTAAGTGTTAAGCTTAGCTTAGACTTGTAGAAGGTCACTAATACAGCACCAACTGAGGTTTGAAACATACTGCAATCAGAGAAATATTGCAATGCAGATAACAACTAAAAGAACTATATCAGCATTTGAGGATGGTAAATTGAATGTGTATTATGGGATGGCAGTTTTAGGCAAGGAAAATACAAAGGGGTATGTCCCAAAATCAGAACAAACATTTTTTTTTAAAGCTCTTTAAGCTATAAATTTTAATATGAAGTTCAGAAAATATAGGATATTATTTCATGCTTTACTTTTTCATTGTTTTCATATTATAACTTTTCAAGTCAATTTCAAGGGAATATGGCAAACAAAGACATTTGTAACATCCCTTCATATTTATCCATAGGGAATCTTTCTTTTAATATTTGAAAGCCTTTTTCACAAACTTGAAAATATTAACACCTCCCAACAATCCTCATCAACCAGTCATGTTATTGTGAACTGCATAATCCTTTCCATGTTTGTATAGTTATGTGCCTAACCAGGGCTCCATATGGTTTTGAATTCAGAGTTTTCCTTCTCTTAGACTGATTACCAACCATGGCTAGAGAGTTCAATATGTACTGCTATTTAACAAATAGCTTTTTCTAAAATGTATTCCTACCTATTTCAAGAGTATTTGTGTGAAAGTAAATGTAATGAACTCAAGCAGAGTTTGAACTTGCCTCTCTGATTTCTTGATTACTTCACCAGCACACCAATTAAAAGTCATAAGATAAACTAGTTTAAAATTAAAAATGAAAATATTTTTTGTGAAATTCAGTAAACAAGTGTACAAACTACCTTTACCCCGAATCATTTCATATTAAATTAGTTATCTGTCCATTCAGAAAAAAAATATCACAACTAAAGCAAAAATGAAATTAGTGAAATACTATTTCTGAGATAATTAAATCAGTATAAAGTAAAGAATTTTTTGAACAATGGTTGATTTTTATGTTTTACTTACCTTTCTCTCGGCCACTGAAGGATCCAGCACATATAAACCAAGTGAGTTCATTGATAGTTCACATGGTTGGACAAAATCTTTGATGCCACACAACTTGTAGATAAGACGATTTAGTTCTGTGTCCAGAAAGTTTGGAGCTAGAGGCTGGTCATGTGTCTGAAGATAAAAATATATCTATATATATATTAAAGAATACCATCTTAAATGAGAAAATTCAAATAAGGAATAGTACATTCAAACTGACTTGAAAAGGAATAAAAAAAAAAAAAAGGAAAAGTAATGCATAAAATAATATCCACTAAATCTATTTTCTGGACTGAATATTAAAATTCATAGCTCCAAGCTTAAATTTATAGTATAAGGAGCCTTTTAGTTTTATGAATATAGTTTAAAAAACAATAATGGACTTTGCAGTGTCAATAGTATTCAAATAAGCTTATAAACACAATGAAATAATGCATTTCTATTCAGATCTTTACATTTGAAACATGTCAACTCAAAACTAATCTAAAATGCCTAGATTTAGAATATAATGATATAGATTTTAAAATATCTAAAGTACAGCAAAAAGACAAAAAAAGGGAAAAGGACACAAAAAAACGGGAAAAGACAAAGAAAAAAACAAAAAAGACGGAAAAAGACAAAAAAAAAACCGAAAAAGACGGAAAAAGACAAAAAAAGGAAAAAAAAAAAAAAAAAAGACAAAAAAAAAAAAAGACAAAAACAAAAAAAGGAAAAAAAAAGACAAAAAAAACCAAAAAAAGGAAAAAAAAGACAAAAAAAAAAAAAGGAAAAAAAGACAAAAACAAAAAAAGGAAAAAAAGACAAAAACAAAAAAAAGGAAAAAAAAGACAAAAACAAAAAAAAGGAAAAAAAGACAAAAAACAAAAAAAGGAAAAAAAAGACAAAAACAAAAAAAAGGAAAAAAAGACAAAAACAAAAAAAAGGAAAAAAAGACAAAAACAAAAAAAAAGGAAAAAAAAAAAAAAAAAAAAAAAAAACAAAAAAAAAAAAAAAGGAAAAAAAGACAAAAACAAAAAAAAAGGAAAAAAAGACAAAAACAAAAAAAAAGGAAAAAAAGACAAAAACAAAAAAAAAAAAAAAAAAAACAAAAAAAAAGACAAAAAAAAAAAAAAAGGAAAAAAAACAAAAACAAAAAAAAGGAAAAAAAGACAAAACAAAAAAAAAAAAAGAAAAAAAAAAAAAAAAAGAAAAAAAAGACAAAAAAAAAAAGGAAAAAAAGACAAAAAAAAAAAAAGGAAAAAAAGACAAAAACAAAAAAAAAGGAAAAAAAGACAAAAAAAAAAAAAGGAAAAAAAGACAAAAAAAAAAAAAAGGAAAAAAAGACAAAAACAAAAAAAAGGAAAAAAAGACAAAAACAAAAAAAAGAAAAAAGACAAAAAAAAAAAAAAAAAGACAAAAAAAAAAAAACAAAAAAAGACAAAAAAAAAAAAAAAAAAAAAGAAAAAAAGACAAAAAAAAAAAGAAAAAAAAGACAAAAACAAAAAAAAAACAAAAAACAAAAAAAAAAAAAAAAACAAAAAAAAGACAAAAACGTAAAAAAGACAACAAAAAAACGAAGAAAAGACAAACAAAAAAAAACGAAGAAAAGACAAAAACGAAGAAAAGACAAAAACGAAGAAAAGACAAAAACGAAGAAAAGACAAAAACGAAGAAAAGACAAAAACGAAGAAAAGACAAAAACGAAGAAAAGACAAACAAAAAAAAAGAAGAAAAGACAAAACAAAAAACGGAAAAAGGACAAAAACAAAAAAATGGCAAAAAAAAAAAAACAAAGAAAAAAATAAAAAAAAAAAATGAGAGACAAAAAACAAAAAAATGGCAAAAACAAAAAAATGACAAAGACAAAAATAACGATAAAATGAGAGACAAAAACAACGAAAAAAAGAGAGACAAAAACAACGAAAAAAAGAGAGACAAAAACAACGAAAAAAAGAGAGACAAAAATAACGAAAAAAAGAGAGACAAAAATAACGAAAAAAAGAGAGACAAAAATAATGAAAAAAAGAGAGACAAAAATAATGAAAAAAAGAGAGACAAATAATGAAAAAGAGAGAAAAACGAAAAAGCAAACATAACAAAAACAAACATAACGAAACAGTTTATTCATATTTTATGCTGATGATACAACTATTTACTTCTGCCTTAATTGCAAGTCTAATAGGTTTGACAAAGTAACTGCTCTTGATTATGACTTCCAATCAGATGTTTACTGAAGCAGGAAATGGCTTGTAAATTTTAACATCTCCAAAACCAAACAGCTATCTTTTAATCATCACAAAGAACCTTTTCTGCCTCAACATGGCTGGTGCTACCTCTAGGTGAGCAACTTATTGCACGTTATTGATCTCACATTTTCCATAGACATGAAGTGGAATCATTATATTGAATCAATTGCTAAGTCTTCTATATGAAAACTTGGTTCACTGTATCATGCCAGACAGTTTTTCTTATAAGAATCCATCTTGCACATTTATAAATCTACCATTCATCCATGCATTGAATATTGCTGCCATATCTGGTTTGGTGCTCCTGCAATATATCTCAAGATTCTCAACAAAATCCAAAGAATGGTCTGCAATATTATTGGTTATTTCAACTTCAGCCACTTTCCCACTACTGTGACATGGCTTCACTTTGTCTTTTCTATAAATATTTTCATGGCAATTGTTCTTGATATCTTGACCATATGAATTTAAGTGTATTATTAGATTAGCAAATAAGTCATCATTTTACTGTTGAAATATCTAGATATAACCATAGATTCTATTTAACAGTTTCTTTTCTTGCACTTCTCACCTGTGGGACTCAAGATCCTTTTTTCACCTGACGCCTATAAACTTCAAAAGTTTAAAATCAATGCCAATTGCCATCTTCTGTCTACCTGAATCATGTTCTTTTATTGTCCTTTCTCCTCACTAAAGTCATCTCATTCTATTTTATTCCAAGTAATCCCTTGTGCTTTGCTGACATTATCAACTTGCTTGCAGTGAAATTATTAGAAAAAGTAAATAAAACTTCTTACAGCCTTTAAAACATGGGAGAAATATAAGATGCATATTTAAATATAAAGAGTTTTAAACTTTAAAAAATCCTGAATGATTAAAAAAGTATTTAATCTAAATAAGAAGCTTTGAAATCTAATATCTGAATTATCAAATGAGATTAATAAATTAGATGAGACCAATTTACACTTCACTCTCATGTTTGAAGGTAATTAAGTTGGTAAAGATATGTTAAAATAAACTGATTTTTTTATAATATATAAATATAATGAATAATACATGAATAATATACATAAATACAAAATCTTTATAAGAGTTTAAAGAAAAAAAAAAAAAAAAAAAAACTTACATAATTTTTACTGAGAGCACCTTCGAGACAGGTACTAAGGAAAAATTCTCGATCTTCTGCTTTTTCGAAAAGAAGCTTCAACTTTTTATGGTTCAAAAATTTATGAACTTGGAAGTTTTGATCAAGAAAAAGTTCTACAAACTCTTCTCGATCTTTCTTAAGGAGAGCTTGGTCAAACAGATTTTTATCAATCTGAAATTTAGAAAAAAAAATTTTTAAATTTAAAAAATTATAAATTTTATCAGCAAAAGCCAAAAAGATAATCAGTTAAATTTTTTGTAATTGTAAAATTCAGTTTTATTTGTGAGATGTGAAAAGAAATTCTAAAAGTCATTTGACAACTACAGTCAGTAATCTACAAACCTCACACAGCAATTTCATTATAATAGATTGATTCATTCATTTTTTACAGCTTATCAATCCTTTGCAAGTTATTTAAAGACAAAAAATATTTTTAGATTGTAGGAATTCATTTTTTTTTTTTTTGGCAGGGGGAGATAATGATATGGATATGACATGGTTAAGCAATCAGCTGATAAGAGAAATCAAAATGCAATATGCATCATATTGTTATATTAGGAAAATCTATGACAAAGTGGAAAATGCTTTTGTGTGAAATGATTCGTCCTTTAGGACCTTTTCGGATTAAAGTGATGTTTCTGCTGATGGAGGGGGGGAATATAAAAAAAACAAACATTTGTTATATTTATGCAGGAAATGCTTAAAATGTTGGGACACTGAAATTAATAGATATGTCTGGGTATATTGTCTAGTCAATTTAATTTAGTTTCTTTGGCTAGACAAGGGGTTCACAACCAGGGGACCCCCTACCCAACTCCAGGGGGAATTTTAGGCTTTTCACAGGGGGTGAAAACATTTACTTTTTCTTGTTTTTTATTTACAGAATTTGGAGCCCATGACTGTAATCTTCATAATAAAATAGATTTAAATACCCTAACTTTTTATTGAACTTTATGTTTATTGAAGTATGCTTCAGTCTATTTATTTGATAATTACAACAAATTACTGTACATGTATTCAGGTTTTAAAATCCATCAACATTTTTTTATTGCTATTAAAGTTGTAAAATTCCTCTATAAAAAATAATCCATGTAAATGTATATGTACTAATATGGAAAAGAATGAAGATTTGCAATAATATTTGCCTATTATTTGGAATGTACCTGTTGACTCAGAGAATCCTGGAAAAGGAGAGAATGACATTCTGATTATGATGAAAAGGGTGCATTGGGCAAAAATGTTTGAGAACCACTGGATTAGACTATATACCCAGACACATCTCAAATAAAAAATACAAACAAAAAATAGTTTAAAATTTCAGTCTCCCAACATTTTCATCATTTCCTATCTGTGCCTAATTGTAACCAATGTTTGCATTTTTATATTCACCCCCCCCCTTCCCCGTCATGCACGTCATGATACATCAGCAGAAACATTACCTTAGTCATTTAGAATGAAACATATCACATAAAATCGTTTTCTGTTTTGTCAGATTTTCCCTAAAATTGTTCTTGATATTTACAATACAATGATATATATCATTTTTTCCATCTTATTGTTATACAAAAGATTAATAATTAACAGTTTTTGTTACCTTCAACTTTCCAAAATCATCTCTCTGGAATATTTCAGAGAAAGCAAGATCTGGTCGGTTCCAGTCCAAAGTGAGCTGTAAATCTTTATGCAGCTGTTCTCTCCATTGTGTTCCGGAGAGTTTTTCAGCTGTAAGAAAGAAAGAAAGAAAAAAAAAAAAACAATCAGATTCATTTGAATGCTTACTTTAACAGAATCAAAAACACAAAATAATTTGACTGTCAATTTGCAAATCACTATAAACATTTTTTCAGTTATGGAGTAACAATAAAAAAAAAAGTATTAACTTGAAAAAAAGTTCAAGCTTTTAGTAGAAAATCTTTAAACGATGTCAATTATTAACTGCTTTGTGCTACAGTTCCATTTTTAGCACTTCCTGGATTTTTTCAAGAGGGATATAACCAGGCAGAAAGTGATTTAAATCTTACTAAAATATATAGCACAATCAGCCTCATGAAATTTTTTTTTTTTTGCTTTTGATCATGGAATTGAAAGTTTTTAAATAAGACTTAATTTCTGTCTGAATTTCTAGGATGAAGAGTCATCAGTATTTACACTATTTATATGCAAACTATTGTACTCATTTTTGTTGTTATCACATTTCAGCTCTTGGGCCTTCCAGCCATCATCAGGTTTATATTGAGCTGAATACTTTATTTAAACTATGGAAGAGACTGTTTTCTTTCCCTTGCTCATGTATCATGGGACAATATCCTAATGGATTAAAGTGGTTTGTGAATTTGGTGGCATAGTAATTGTGAGTTCAATCCCTGGGCTGCACAGTGTATACTTGGACTCAGTGGAAACAACACAAGCAATAATTGAGCAGCACTAAAAATAAGAACTAGACTAGATATTCCTAGACACATGCAGTGGAATAAGTGCAGTCTATTTCATCAATTAAATAAAGGGTTCATTTTAGAATTCCCTGTAGGTTACCTGAATCAACATACACCTGATGAAGGTTGGAGAGCACAACAGTTAAAACATTGTCATAATAATAACAAAGATGACAACTATAGTCTGCATGTAAAAAGTTTTTTAGCTCTTAAATTTGTATAATTAACAAATATAAGAACAAAATGGTCAATTGAGTGTTAATGCTTCTGGTACAATGATATATTTGGTTACTGGAGAATTAATATTAATCATAATCTTTTCTATGATTAGTCAAATAATTTGCATAATATATCTAATAACTAGATTTTACAATAATAGCAATTTATTATTTAGATATATAAAGACATCAAAGTATGAGCTTTAACTAATAAAAAGAGTATTTTAATTATAATTTCTTGTAAAAAAAACTAAAAGATTACCACTACATCATAAATCTTGCCTATATTCAAATGAAGATGTACATTTGGTATTTCTCATAAGTATATTGGGTTTACTTCAAAGGGTCTTTTTTGTCTTTTTGCTTGCAAAAATATAAATGGTTCTATTTATTTTATAATGATAGTTAAACACTACTTGTTCATGTAATATTCATAATTTTATTATAATCTTCAAATTTTTAAATCTTGCTTCGATAGACTCAAAAGTCTATGAAGAATTATAAGCAAGATGCCAGTTGTGCTTAAAATGAAATAATGTCAGCAGTTATTGTCCATAAATTGGAAACAGGCAAGAATAAAAAGGAACAATTCCATGCACAAAAGGTAAAGTGAGAATTCACCTTGAAATATGAAAACCCAAATATTAAGAAATAATTAAAAAGAAAAATCAACAACTTCAATGATGAAGCACACCAAATGTAGTAAAAGAAGAAAACTTTTTTAAAATTTCTCAAATTATTTATCTTGTATTTACTCTCCAAAGCTTTTCTCCCATTTTTTATTGAACTTTTGGACATTGCTTTTAGTCTAATGTCTATATGAAAAATATACTTTAAAAATTTTAGAAAATTATAATTATCCAGAGGAAAAAAAATGTTTCAGATTTAATTGGTAGCTTTATTTTTATTTATTTTTTAATCATTTCACGCCAAGCAAAACAATAATGCCACTAAGACACAAGGGGTTACAGGGGGTGAAAGAGAACATGACTTTAGAAGGAACCAGGAAACAAGGGATAAACCTCTACTCCTGTTCAATACAAGTGTAAGTAGTTTGAATGAGGTTTAATTCAAAGAAGGTAATTATTTTGATTTTTTTTTTTTTTTAAATTCTTAGGCTTTAAAATTTGTTATGAAAGGAATGTGCCCTACACTGAACTGGAAAGAAAAATAAAAAAAATGGAACAGAGAACCCAGTCCAAAAACTGAGAAAGATTTTGTCAAATAGCTAACAGATCTTACTTTTGTACATCAACACATTAGATAAAAAAAGAATAAACCTTCATGCCTTTTCATTCTGCCCATTTCTTTTGTTTATTATCTACAAAAGTTACTATTACAATATATATATATATATATATATATATATATATATATATATATATATATATGTGTGTGTGTGTGTGTGTATATATATATATATATATATATTACTTCCAACATTATTTTTAATGAATACCAGTGTTTGAAATAGATATACCGTTTTCATGTTTTAAACAGCATGTATTACGTCTGTAAGCCTACACACAAGAGAAATCTTAAGAGAATATCTTCTCTGGTAAAGGTTTTAACCTGCACTCCCTTTAACAACTAAAAATAATGTTTGAAATAATAAAAATACCATATTAAAAATAAATCCATTAACTTTTTAGAAATTGCTTGGTTTACATTTTAAATACAAAACTGGTTAGAAATGGGCTATTAAGAAAAATCTCAAGAGAGTAAGCCTTCCTTAAAAGGGAAAATAGATCACTACTGGACCATGACACTCAATGGCTGAGTGGTTTAAAGTACACCGAATCAAACAGTGGATTATCCTACAAAGGGAGATGCAAATACAAACTCTGCCAGAGTGCAATCTCTTTATTCAGATTTTTCAAGTATGCAGACTAGTAGATGTAATACAAATTGGATAAAAAAGAAAAACATGTTTATTCTAAAAATAGGTATCCACTAAAAATACTGTTTGAAATAATAAAAATGTTGGATTTATCCATTAATTCTTTAGAAATTTAATAATGTTATTAGTCCTGACATCTCAGCTTCAGTCACTTTCCTACCACCATAATGTAGCTTCCATTTGCCTTTTCTATGAATATTTTTATGATAATTGTCCTAATGAGCTTTCCATTTTCGTACCTAGACTTTATGAATTTAACTGCAGTATGAGATTGGTGGCAAGTAATATAATTGAAACTCTTTATAGTTGAAATAGCTAAATGAAACCATAAGCTCTATGCTAAAAGGTTCTTTTCTCACACTTCTGGTTTCTTCCTTTCTAGTCAGCTTTGATCTTCAAAAAATTTAGATGCAATGTCAATAGTTATATAAAAACCAAGATATATATATATATATATATATATATATATAGGATATAGTATAGATATATATATATATATATATTAAACCAATTATAGGATATATATATATATATATATATATATATATATATAAGTATAATATATATATATATATATATATATATATATATATATATATATATATAAATATATATTAAATAGGATATATATATATATATATATATATATATATATATATATATATATATATATAATATTAAAAGTATAGATATATATATATATATATATATATATATATATTAAACTAAGTATAGGATATATATATATATATATAATTAAGTATAGATATATATATATATAATATATATTAAAACAAAAGATATATATATATATATATATATTAAACTGATATATATATATATATATATATATATATATATATATATATAAAACTAAGTATAGGATATATATATATATATTAAACCAAGTATAATATATATATATATATATATAAATTTTAGGATATATAAATTCAGGTAAAATGAGAAAAAGTATAATTATGTCTTAAATTTAATTTTTCAATACAAAGTGGAGCTAAAAATTTTAGGATATTAAATCAAAAGTATGTTAAAATTTTCAAAATTTAGTTTTAATATCTTTATTTATTTATATATATATATATATATATATATATATATATATATATATATATATATATGTGTGTAAATAACAGTGCATGGTAAGTTCATTATAACTTCTCTACTTGCTTTCACTGTATATAGTGGAATGTACTAATAATCTATTTTCTTTTTGAGTTCATTTAACAAAATTTAATATCCCACTGCTATTAAATATCCTGTCATACTTTTATCAACCTCAAGCTTTACCATTTTGAATACAATTTTAGTTAAAGAGAAAAAGAGAGAAAACAATCAAGATGCAGTTAAGTCTTCAAGTAGATATTTGACATCAGTAACAATTAGAGAGCTCAAGTTGTAAAAATGAATAATAAATAAATAAAAGCAGAGTTTGTTTTTTTTGGTTGAACTTTGCTAATTCCAATTAATCTTGCAGAAAATTTCAGTCAATACTTTAAATAAAAAATATAAGTCAATGACTATAAGTATTAGATTATTTGGATATGTAACTTAGTACTACATAGTTTTAATTTTTTCTAATATCAGTCGCCATTCAGTTGTTACCTGCCATTACTATTAGAATCAGTGAGTTACTAGACAACAAATACATCTCAAGGACTGCATTAGATATCTCAAAAATCTCTGACAAGATGTGATATAAAGGATTACTGCACAAGCTCTAGCTATGGAATCACTGGAAGAGTTTTTCTCAATTATAAAGTTCTTCCTAATAGGTAAGTCCCTGAAGGTAGTTGTTAATGGCCAGTTCTCTGAGGCCTTAACAATCAATGCAGGCATCACCCCCAGGGTCACTTCTCAGGCTAATATACTTTTTACTTTACATAAATGATCTGCCTAATAGTATACTCCAATCATCTGTGAATATCTATGCTGATGATACAAAGGTATATGGGTGAACCTTCAAAACTTCAAATGACTTGAGATTAGCAGATGATCTTCCCTCTTATCTCTAACATGTCAGTGGGGGAAAAACTGGGTGGTAACATTCAATGGCTTGATAACAAACTAGTTACATTCCATCATCGACAATTGGACTCTGAACTATTACCAATCACAATGAACAGATGTTCCCTCAGTGAGGCATTATGCCTT